TGTAGCGAAAATAGATGGAATGCAAGAAACAAGATTGGCCATGAGCTGATAACTATTAAAGTTCCATGATGAACACATGAGGCTCATTATGCTATTTTCTCTACTTTTTTAAAGGTTTAAAATTACCCACAGTGAAAAAGATAATACAGGTAATAGAACAAGAAATAAAGGTCTGAATATATTATTTAGCCTCCTAAAGATAGCAGCAGGAGTATGCCTCTGATGGGCCTGTAGCTGAGGCCTACTACCTTCCAAAACTGACTTTCTTTTCTCCTTACAGGAAGCACACACTTTGTGCTGGGGTTTTACAGTTACTGATCACTGGTGGGAAGATGAGGGGCAAAGCCTTTCTTCCTCATCCTGTCCACCTAACCTGGTGAGAGTGGCAAGGGTAGCTTCCCAAGGATCATACAGACTGCACCCCCAAGTAGCATTAAGTGAGCCGAGGACTCCTGGAGGGCATGAGGCCTGGGAGGCTGCTCCTCCTGGGCCATGGCTGCATTGTCTTGTGCTCCTGCAGCTGTTTGCGGGTAACAGACACATCCTCTCCCTACGTTCAAGGGTTTTATGTCCATGTCCTAGCTTGTTGGCATTTTATGCCTGCATCTCCCTCCGAATAACCATACAGAAGCTAACAGAGACTAAGTAGTGATACAACTTAGTAGAGGGGTGGGAGGACTTTTGACCTGAATCACCTTCCATTACAGTAGGAAAGTCAAGAACTAACAAGAGGAGAGGAGGGGCAGGTCCACTGCTTTTCATGATTAGCTTTTTGGTACTTAGTGATATTTCAACCAAGTATACATAGCTCTCTGGTGATTTTTAAATTACTAGTAAATGTCATAAAATGGAATGAGAATTCTAGAGAGTGGTGCAAAGAAATGGCTAGAAGGAAGGCAGGGAGAGCAGGGTTGAGGTGGGAGGTTGGAAGTAGACAGATGGTGAATGTTAGCTTGATGGTAGGAGTGAGCAGCCAGTGGCATTAACTGACCTTGAGGTTCTGACCAGAGCCTCAGGTATACAGTTCCTGTGCCAGCACAAACCAGCATTAGGTGGGGGGTGGGGTGAGGGTGAGGAAAGGGTCTTTCTACAACATGATAGCTCTCGACCCAGGTTAGAAAATATTCAGCTCGTTCCCCCAGAATCTTCCACCCCTGGCAAAGCTGAGACCTGAGTGGAAAAGTTGTTTTCAAACAGGCGTAAGCTCCTATGGAAGGATTCAGTTCCTCTCTTGACTTCTAGCTTTACAGTGTTCAGAACTCTGTTGTAAGATTGGCATGGTTGGACCAGGAGCCTGATGGGAACCATAGCCACTTAGGCTTCTTCTGTACCTGATGTGAGGGATGGACACTCCTGAGGACTCTACTGGGGAGCAGTTGGGAGCAAGTATGCCCTGGTCCAGGTGGGCCCCAGGGGCCATGGCATTACCTTGCAGTGAGCCTACTGGGTGCACTCATACCCAGAGTTTTCTCAGCTTCACAGGCACCACCCTGAAGCTAGAAGGCTTCACCTTGTAAGGTGCCTGGTAGAGTGGCTTAAGGTGAAGGCCCTAAGTCCAAGCCCCAGTACGGAAAAAAAACGGGGGGACGGGAGGAGAAGGAAGAAAGGGAAAGGAAGGAGGGAAGGAGTAAAAGAAAAGGGAAGGAAAGGAAGGAGAGAGGGAGAAAGAAGAAGGGAGGGAGGAAGGGAAGGAGAAAGGAAAGGAGGAGGGAGAGAGGTAAGGAGGTGAGGGGAAAAAGAGGAAGGAGGGAGGGAAAGGAAGAGAGGAAGGAAGGAAAAGAAAAGGAAAGGGAAGGAGGGAGAAAGAAAGGAAAGAGACAGGAAAGAGGAAGGAGGGAAGAAAAGAAAGAGGAAGGGAGGGAAAGGAAAGAAAAAGAAGCGGAAAGAGAAGGAAGGAAAGGAGGGAGAAAAAGAAGAGAGGAAAGAGGAAGAGAAAGGAAGGGAAGGAGGGAAGAAAAGGGGAAAGAAGGAGGAAAAGAAAAGGAGAAATGAAAGGAAGGAAGGGAAAGGGAGGAAGAGAAAGGAAGGAGTGAGGAAAAGGAGAGAGGAAAGAAAGAGGAAGAAAGGAAGGGAAGGAGGAGAGAGATGGAGAAAGAAAAGGGGAAGAAGAGAAGTGGGAATGAAAGAAAAAGGAAGGAAAGGAGGGAAAAGGAAGGAAGGAGGGAGGGAGGGGAAGAAAAAAGGAAGGAAAGGAAGGAGGGAGAGAGAAAAAGAGGGAAGGGAAAGACAGGAAGGGGAGGGGAAGGAGGGAGTGAAAGAGGAAAGAAGGAAAGGATAGAGGAAGGAAGGGAGGAAGGGACAGGGAAGGGAGGGGAAGGAGGAGAATGATTACTCAGTATAAAAATTACCTCTTCACTCTCAACAGAAGTGTACCCCTTTAGAGTCTTGGGTACCAGCCACACTGCCAGCCAGTTTATGTGAGGTTTTTTATGATTATAAACTGGACATGAACTGTGTGGTCCTGCTTCAGCCTGAAATCAGGCCATGATCCCCACATTGGGGATCCCAAGAGCTGCCCTGAGTAATGTCACACAGCACAGGGTGCTTGGACACCTGATAGATCATCAGAAGTTATCATTAGCATCCAAAGAAGTTTTTGGCATCCAACAATTAATAAAAGTACCTCATGGATTTCTTTGAAGATAAATTTTCTGTTTTAAAAGAGTCATATCTAGGCAGGCCATGAGCTTGTTAAGCAAGTACTCTACCATTTGAGCCACACCTCCAGCTCATAACTTGGAATCTTCATTCACCAAAATTGATTAATCATCCTGTTTACATAATTGCCCTTCTCCAAGTCTTATTTGAAAGCTTGCAGGTGAGGACTGTGACAGTGTTCTGCAGCATTCCTTCTCCCACGAAGCCTTGTTTGTGACTATTTATTGTAAAAATGAAGGAAAAGTGTGTTTCTTTTTTTTTTTTGGCAGTACTGAGGGCTTACACCTTGAGTCACTCCACCAGCCCATTTTTGTGATGGATTTTTTTTGAGATAGGGTTCCTTGGACTGTTTTCCCAGGCTGGCTTCAAACAACAATCCTTCTCATCTCTGCCTCTTGAGTAACTAGGATTACAGGTGTGAGCCACTGGCAACAGGCAGTGAGTTTCTTTTTATCTGTTATAGGAAATCGGTTACTTTGTATTCTGTTCATAGATGGTGGCTAGAAGGAAGACAAAAACTTCAGTTTCCATGTCTCACAATACTTTAGGATAGGTAAATCCTATGGAGTTTTAGTTATGGAGTGTCAAAAAGTAAGTCAGACCATCAAAAAGCGAACAGCAGAAGTCTCCCTTCTTCCTTGTGATTCTGCTGTAAAAGGGCTGGGAGTGTGGGTCAGTGGTAGGGCCCTTGTCTAGCATGCATGAAGTCCTAGATTCAGTCCTTACCAACACAAAAAGGGGGGCCGGGATTGGGTGGAATTAGGAAAACAAGATGCTAATCATTAGTTTATCTTTTTTATTATATTTATTTATTTTTTTGGTATTGGGGTTTGAACTCCTGGCCTTATGCTTGCTAGACAGGCACTCTAACACTTGAGCCACTCCACCAGCCCTGTTTTGTTTTGGGTATTTTTTAGATAGGGACTCACAATTTGCCTTGGCTGGCCTGTAATCTTGATCTTCCTGATTTCTGTTTCCCAAGTAACTAGGATTATAGGTATGAGCCCCTGGCACCTGGATCATTGTTTTTCTTGATTCTTGTCTTATTTATTGTCTGTAGTGGAACAGTTATCACCTTATTCAGTAATTGTTTCATTTATATAGGTTGAGCATCCCTAATCCAAAAATGTGAAAATAATGCTCAGAGTGTTTAAGATTAGACTGGTGGGGTGGTACATGCCTATAATCTCAGCACTAGGGAGGAGCAGGAAGACCAGGAGTTTGAGGCCAGTTGGGGCTACATAGCAACACTGTCTCAAATGAACAAACAAAAAAGAAGTTTCAGGTTTCAGAGCATTTCAGGCTTCACATTTCTAGGTTGGGGATATTCAACCAGTAAAATCTAAACAGATATTACCAGGTCCAAAAAAACTGAAATCTGAGACACTTTTGTCCCAAGCATTTTGGATGAGGGATACTCAACTGTACCATTGTCTTTCCAACAAGGGCTCTGTTCCCTAAAAAGAAGCAGGGAAAGCACTATGACATCCACAAGTAGTAAGTATAGTGTAGATGGAAACAAGGTCAATGTTATCATATTTAATTAATTCTGAGATACACAACTGTCCATATTCTAGTATTTCTGAAATTCCAGTATGTCTTATAGGCAAAGATCAAGAAAGCACTATGTCAGCTAGGGGTGTAACTCAGTGGCAGGACACTTACCTATCATTTGCAAAGCCCTGGGTTTGATCCCCAGCACCATGGAAAAAATAAATAAAAAAGAAAGCATTATGTCATAGTTTTTTCTTAATAGTACATAAAATAATTTTGCCTCTTTCAGTCCGTGATGTCCTAGATTTGCTGAAATACACTAGGAATTTTTTATACTCTTTGTATAAAGAACATTAACTGTATAGTAAAATTATTTAAGTTCCAAGTCATAATATAATGTCAGGTGATAGTTAATGTAGCAAAACTTGAGGCAATTTGTTTAAAAGGACAATATCTTGAGGTGCACACTGAGTACATTAGTGTTGAATGGATGAGGGGCATAGTATAAGGCTGCCCGCCATGAGGTAGATCCAAGAATTGATATTTGGAACAAAGTAGGAGAGGAGTATGTCTGCAGGGTGATGAAGGGAGGTAGCAAGCAGATTGACTTGCTACCTTTGGAGTCCAAGTGTTTTGTAGGGTCACACTATGGGAACTTGAGAGCTGGTGTAAAGCACCGAGGGGGACTGAGGGAGGTTGTACAAAAGTCTCAGAATATTACTTTTGGATTGATGGCTAAACAAAAATAAAAGGGATGAGGCATGAATGTCTTTAAACTGTAAAGGCTTTCAGCTCCACTCTTGAAGTGGTGCTGCTCTATAACGTGTAACCCCATTTTTCTGCCACAGATTGCCTTCTCCCAGCACAGCAATTTCATGGACCTGGTACAGTTCTTCGTGACTTTCTTCAGGTAATTTCCCCATACAAACTACACTTGTTCTTTCCATTCATGCCCTTAATTCCATAATGGAGTATCAACTCATAAAAGATAAAAGAATAATCCTGTGTTTCTACCATAGATGAAACTTATTTTATTTGTGTTCCTGAAAGCTGCATGTCAGGTACAATAATGTGAATTCAGTCTGATTTGATGAAATGAAAAGTTTGTGTGTTCTCGCTTTAGGAGACAGCTTTGCATGCACCCTACGCTAAATTGCAGATAATTTGGCTTTTCCTGTGGGGAGAATTTTGCACCAAAACAGTGTTAATGACAATTCCTGACATGAGCTACATGTGTGCTACTCCTGTTCAGGAGATGATTCCAGTGCTTATACAGAGCATGAAAGATTAAAGTGATTTTTTTTAGTTTTAGACCCCTGGGATTCTTTCATTTTCATAGCTTTTATTTTTCTGCAAATACCAAGTGGAAATAATTGAAAAAGAGAAGTGACATAGTGCTTATAAGAGAAAACAGCAACAACTTGCCTCCCACCAAATTTCAATTATTCTGGTTGTGTTTTATTTCTCTATGCTTACAGTAATTCTTGATTTTTTAGCTCAGTTACCTTTTGACGTCCTGTAGAAGATGATGGCTTATTGCCTTACATTACCTCACTCTACAACTCCCCCCACACCACAAATGCATACAAAATTCCCTTCCTGAGTGCCCCTAGGAGAAACAGTCTTGACCACTATGCTACCATCAAGTTCCTCCTGACTGCTGAGTCAGCCATGAAGAAGATAGAAAACAACACACTTGTGTTCATTGTTTATGTCAAGGCCAACAAGCACCAGATCAGACAGGCTGTGAAGAAGCTCTGTGACACTGATATGGCTAAGGTCAATACTCTGATCAGGCCTGATGGAGAGAAGAAGGCCTATGTTCGACTGGCTTCCGGTTATTATGCTTTGGGTGTTCCCAGCAAAATTGTCATCATCTCAATGGAGTCCAGCTGGCTAATTTAAATAATTTTTTTCACCTCCTTCCCATTCATTCAGTACAGTTACATCACAACATGTGGCTAAATCAGTGCTACTTATATTATTGTAACCATAAAACTTAGTCAAAACTGAGTTGAGCTGTGATTTTATAGGGGATCCGTCTTTGCTTATCCTAAATGTAGTATTTGCTGTGTTTTGGTTCTTTTGTTTTAATTGTTCCATGAAATTAGCCCTGACTTACACCTGTACTCACACAACTAAACCATCTCTCAATATAGAAAAAAAAAAAAAAACTAAACAAAAAACAGCCTCTCAATATGGTCAAACACAGGCAGGTTCTCTGCTGGCTCTAGTTTCTCTTGGAGATGTGTCACTGGAGCCTTCTGTCCCTAGTGCACTCATCCTCAAGACTTGCTGATAGCAGTCCTCTTAGGAATCTCCTGTGTCTGCATCCCATGTCATAATCTTCCTACATACTATCTTTTTACTGGAGCACATTTTCCATTAGCTTTCTGAGGAAAGGTACATAGGAGGTAACTTCAGTGAGCGTCCTTGCCTGAAAATGTCTTTATTTTTATCCTCACAGTTTGAGTATGAATACAGAATTTTAGGTTGAAAATAATTTTCCACTAGAATTTAGAAAACAGTGTGCTGTATTTTTTTTTAGCTTTTAGTGTTTATATTGAGAATACTAATGTCTATATAATTCCTACTCCTTGGATAAGGGTCTGTTTTCTCTCTTAAAAAACATTATAGGGCTAGGGCTGGTGAAGTGGCTCAAGTAATAGAGTGCCTGCCTAGCAAGCACAAGGCCCTCAGTTTTAAAGCCCAGTACTGCTCCCCCCCCACCAAAAAAAAAAAAAACCTAGCTAAAAAACTATACATTTGCAGCAAAAATGATGGAAATAAAGGACATTATATTAAGTGAAATTAGTCAATTTTAGTCAAACTAAAATTGATCTCAATGAGCTAAAGAATAGAAGGATGTAGTGGCATGTAATCCCAGCACTCAGGAGGCTGAAGCAGAAGGATCATGAGTTTGTGAATCCTGGGCTACATGGGGATATCCTGTCTCAAAAAAATTTTAAAGCCAGGTGCTACTGGCTTATGCCTGTAATCCTACCTAGTCAGGGGGCAGAGGTCAGGAGTACGGGGTTTTGAGGCCAACCTGAGCAGATAGTTCAAGGGACCCTATCTTGAAAATACCCAAGACAAAAAAGGGCTGGAGGAATGGCTTAAGTGGTAGAGCATCTGTTTAGTGAATTTGAGGCCCTGAGTTCAAACCCCAGTACCACCGAAAAAAGAAAAAATTAAAAAGATAGAGAATAGGACTGTGGGTAAGAGAGCCTAGAAAGGAAGGGGTGGAAAGAGGGTGGTTAATGGATACAGGGGAGAAGTTAGATAGGAGAAATAATTTCTTATATCCTACAGCATAGTAGGTTAACTGTGGTTGAGGACAATTAGTTGAAAATTTCAAAATAGCTAGTAGAGAGAATTATGAATGTTCCCAGTACAAAGAAATGATAAATGTCTAAGATTCTAAGATGATGAAGATACCAGTTACTCAGATCTGATCATTACACATTGTATCCATGTATTCAGATGTCATATGCACCCCATAAATATGCACAACTATTATGTGTCAATTAAAAAATATATATTAAAAATAAATAAATTTTGAGAATGTAATTGATACCTATGGGGGGGCGTTGAAAATGCAGGCTAGGGAAAGCTGAAGGAAAACTTACTTGTAATCATTTACCAGTTTTTTGGGTTGTTTTTTTTTTTTTGTGGTGGGTGGGGTGGGACTGGAGTTTGCACTCAGGGCTTTGCACTTGCAAGGCAAGCGCTGTACCACTTGATTCACACCCACACCTCCAGTCCATTTTGCTCTGGTTGTTTTGGAGATGGGGTTGCTCAAACTATTTGTCCCAGCTGATCCTCCCTATCTCAGCCTTCCAAAGTAGCTACGATTATAGGCATGAGCCACCAGTGCCTGTCTCACCAGGGTTTTTTGTTGTTGTTGTTGTTGTTTTTCCAAACAGTATCTTATGTTTGTGGGTTTATTTAGAAAGCATTTTCAGTCTCCATTCTCACACCAAGTCCTACAGGTGGATATCATTATTGTTATTATTCCCATGTAATTGCTGAAGAGACAAGCTAAGCATGACATACAATGGACAGCAGGAATTTGACACCTGACCCCCAGCTCCCCAGGGCGGGCTCATGTCTTCTGTTTCTCTTAGTGCCTAGCCTCCTGCTCTAAGTAGAAACTTGTAGGTGCCTCCTAATTAAAGTGTGTGTTTGGCCACACATATATTCATCCCACACACTTTGTTGTATACTGACTAAAAGTACTAAGGGTACTATAAACTTACAAAAACATTCACAAATTTTAAGTGTCTAGCTCAGTTGCCACAAATTGAGCTTGCTCATTTAACCACTACCCAGAACAAGAGATACAGTATTTCCAGTACTCTAAAAGTTTTTTTTTACATTCTCACTCAGTCACAACCCCCTGATGCTTCCCCCAAAATAACACTCATGTGACTCCTCAAACTGTACATTATACTTGCCTGTTTTAAGTTTCTATGTATTTACAATGAATGATGAACAAAATACTGAAAACTTGTGGGGTGCAGTTAAAGTTGTACTTAGAGGGTATCACTTTAAATCTGTGGTTCTCAAGTTTAGCTGCACCTGGCATCACTCAGAAAGCATTTGAAAACTCCCCAGGGGGTTCCAACCTGCAGCTAAGGTTGAAAACCATACATTTAAAGGCATAAGTTAGCAAAGAAAACACATCCCTTTCAATTAATGAGGAAAAAAAAGTGTCACACCTAAAAAAATAAGAATATAAATATGGGCAGAAAGTAATGATCTAGGGGGATAGACAGGATGAAAAGAACTGAAAATTAGATCTTTAAAAAGAATAATATTGATATATAACCAGTGTCAGAAATAAAAAGGGGGATGTTGCTCCAAGTCTTTCAGACATTTTTCCTCCAAAAGAATATTTTACGAACAAATTTATGTGAACAAATTTGAAAATGTCACAGGTGGAATGAGAACATTAACAACAACAAAAAAATCTAACACTGGGCACCAGTGGCTTACACCTGTAATCGTAGCTACTAAGGAGGCAGTGATCAGGAGGATCGCAGTTCAAAGCCAGCCCAGGCAAATAGATCTTGAGATCCCATCTCAAAAATACACAACATAAAAATAGGGCTGGTGGAGTGGCTCAGGGTGAAGGCCCTGAGTTCAAGCCCTAGTACTGCCAAAAATAAATAAATAAAAAGTAAACCCTAACTATGTATAATCTATCAAAATAGACACAGAAGAAAAGACAGGACAAGACTGAAATCTCCATCCTGAACAAGGCTATTTCAGAGTTCCCACAAATGAAACCCTGTCCTTTTTGGGAGGAACAGCACTGGGGTTTGAACTCAGGGCCTCACACTTGCTAGGCAGGTGCTCTACCACTTGAGCCACTCCACCAGCTCTACCTCGACCCTCTGACATATGCTTCCCAAATAGCTGGGATGACAGGTGTGTGCTAACTTTTTGCCTGGGCTTAAACCCCACCCCTTTAGAAAAGACTACTCTGACTTTTCTTTCAAAACAAACATTTTTAAATACTACACAAATGCCTTGAGATCAGCTTCAATTCAAAATGACAACACAACTCAAAAGACTCAGATGTTAAGAAAATATGTTTCATAGTTAGATCTCTCTTGGTTCTGTCACTACCATCAGATGTGCTTCTTCATTTTAACTTTCAAATGTTTTAAAAGACTGAAATAAAAGGAAGTCTTGTAGACAACATTGCCATATCACCATCACCTGGTATGTGACATTTATGAATCTTGTACTTTATATACCTTTTTACATGCTACATACATACTATTTTTGCATTCTGAGTAAAGTTTAATAAAAGAAAAACTGACGTCGAAGAAATAGAAAACCTGAGTAATTTTGTATCAATTTCAAAAACAATTCATAAGTTAAGTATTCCTACAGTGAAAACTCTAGGCCTCTGTGACTTTGTTTGTAACAAAGCCTTTTCTGTTCTAGAGAACAAAAAAGAGGAAACACTTCCCGGTTTGTGTTATGAACCTAACACAACCTGACAAGAATATTAAGAGAAATTTATAAATCAATCTAACTCATGAATGCAGGAATGAAAACTGTCAGTAATATAAAAAGGCTACTATCATGACCCAGTTGGGTTTATGTAAGAATTGCAAGATTGATTTAGCATTAGATAAGCAATCAAAGTAATACATATTAATTGCATAAAGAAGAATGATATCTTAATTGATGAGAGAATTTAATAAAATGTAATATCCATTTAAAAAACCTCTAAGAAACCTAGTAATAGAAAGTTCTTTAAATCTGAAAAAGGAACTATATAAACCACATTTTTTTTAATTGGTGGGACTGAAGTTTGAACTCAGAGCTTCTCTGTTACAAAGCAGGCACTCAGCTGGTTGAGCCCCACCTCCAGTCCATTTTGCTGTGGTTATTATGGAGATGGGGTTGCTCAAACTGTTTTCCTAGGATGGCCTCATTACCGAGATCCTCCTGATCTCAGCTTTCCAAGTAGCTATTATTACAGGCATGAGCCACCAGCACCCAGCTGTAGCAGTTATGTATTGGTCACTGTCACAGCTTTCCATTACTGTGACAAAATACCTTACAGAAACCATTTGAAAGGAAGAAAGATTTATTTGGGTTCCTAGCCCTGTCACTTTGGGACTGAGGTAAGGCCAAACCCATGTTAGCGGAGAGCATGTGCTGGACCATAGTAGCCCAGCTCATGGCAGAGCAAGACAGCAAGAGAAAAGGCAAAGAAGAAGCGGGGGCTGGGGACAAAATGTACCCTCAAAGCCAAACCCCAGTAACCTGCTTTGTCCAGTTAGCGCCACCTCTTAAAGTTTCCATCACTCCCAATATCCCATTAAAATATAAATCAATCAGTGGCTAAGCCATGGTGGGATTAGAATGCTCATGATCCAGTCATGTCCCAAGGCCCAAGTCTGAACACTGCCATCCTGGGGACTAAGCCTTTGTGCCTTTGGGGTACATTTAAGATGCAAACCATAAAGAAGTTACCTAAGAGTTTTTTTGGTAAGCATATTCCTCCTTTTAACTGGAAGTAAGTCGTTGTCTTCGCCATCACAGTAGCTTTTCAAAGCATTCAACACAGTTTACAGAGAGAACATTGAAATCCTTTATATTGGATGTTTTTTCTCCTAATTTTTTTTTTTTCCCTGTACTGAGGTTTTGGCTCAGGGCCTTGCACTTGCTAGGCAGTTGCTCTGCCACTTGAGTCATGCCCTCAGTCCATCTCCTGATATTTTTAAGAATGTTCACTTGAGCTGGTGCCAGTGGCTCATACCTGTAATCCTGATAAAAAAGGCAAAGATCAGGAGGATGGTGGTTTGAAGCCAGCCCAGGCAAAAATAGTTCACGAGAAAACCTTTCACAAAAAAGGGCTGGTGGAGTGGCTCAAGGTATAGGCCCTGTGTTCAAACTCCAGTAAATATGATCATCTTTATTTTTGTTTTTGGGTTTTTTTTGTGGTACTGGGATTTGAACTCAGGGCCTTGTGCTTACTAGGCAGGCACTCTACCACCTGAGCCCTAGTTTTTGTTTGGTTCGGTTTGGTTTGCAGTACTGGGGTTTGAACTCAGGGCCTCATGCTTATTAAGCAGGTGCTCTACCACTTGAGCCACTCTACAGCCCTGATCATCTTTAATGTGTTTTATTTTATTTCAAATATGTGCACTTGCTTTGTAGACATATTACAGTATATTCATCATTATAGATAAACTTCTGTTTACCTTTTCCAGAAAATATTTGCTAGTTTGATTAAATAGCCTGCTTGTTATCTATAGACATTATCTTATAATTATAATTTAGCCATTCTGATAAAGTTCCAATGGGGAATCAGAGCTCTTGGTACCTGCAGGAATAGGAGGTCCTTCCTAGAAGCTCACCTTATCAAAGTCTTCTCAAACTGTGATTTCTTTGAACAGGACATTGTGATGAATCTTCAGAGTGGAACTTGGAGTTGGAGCTTGGAGGATTGTTCCCTTTGGGAGTCTTGAGGCATGGATGGTGGCATGCTGGGGCCAGTTCTGGTGCCAATTCTGGTGCCAGGATAATAACACAGTACTTTCCTTTCTCACAGTTGTTTCCTCTCTTTGCTCTTGGTGGCTGCTGTGGTTTGGAAGATTAAACAAAGTTGTTGGGCCTCCAGGCGTAGAGAGGTAAGCCTCAGTGGAAGAAGATAAAAGAATCCTCATAAATGCTGTTTTATTTTCTTTTCTCTTAAGCAAGTCACTTTTACCTGTTTGGTGATAATTGATAGATGTATCTGCAGTGAGAGGAATGCTGGCCTTTCTGCAGTGTCTGATTCTATAGTAGGTGGTCAGTAGACTTAGGTTACTGCAATATAAAGTGTCATTAATTCTGCCATGATCACCACTTGATTCCTTCCTAAGAGCCTTTCACAAGAATGAGAGTGAATTGGTTCCCGTGCCTACCAAGTGTGGTCCTGAGTTCAACCCTGAGTACCTCCTAAAAAAATAATAATACCTAAATTCTTAGTAGAAGCAAAGTAATCATTTAGTCATATATTAAAATTTAATAGCTATTTCTAAGTTAAAAACAAAACTCAGCTGGGCACCAGTGCCTCATGCCTGTAATCCTAGTTACTCAGAAGGCTAAAATGGGGAGCACTGTGGTTCAAGGTCAGCCCAGGCAAATGGTTCTCCAAAACAACCAGAGCAAAACAAGAGTAGCGGTGTGGCTCAAGCAGTAGAGCATCTGCTTTGGGAGCACAGACCCCTGCATTCAAACCCTAGTCTCACTAAAAATGATAAAACCAAAACACTGAATAAGCTCAAAAATACTTTTTTAACTCTATGAAGACTATCTAGACAACTTAGCTTTCCATTACTATAACAAATACCTGAGATAATCAGCTTATAAAGAGGAAAGGTTTATTTTGGCTCACAGCTTAGGAGGTTTCAGTCCATGCTGGGTTATCCCCATTGCTTTTGATTTTGTAGTGAAGCAGCACATTGCAGTGGCAAACACATGGCAAAACCATTCACCTCATGGCTGAACAAGAGAGACAGACAGACAGACACTGGGGTCCCAATATCCCCCCAAGAACATGCCCCTCGTAGTCTAACTTACTTCCCTGAGTCCCAACTCTTAAAGTTTCCAAACTTCCTGAGGCCAAGCAGGGAACTAAGTCTTTTAACATATGGTCTTTGGGGGAACATTCAGATCCAAACTATAATAATACCCAGCATCACTCATGATGAGGAACAGTAGAGGTGGTACCAGTAAAATCCAGACAAGTGATCTAGACATTTCACTGTTTTAAGCAGTTTTAATCTTCATCCCAACCTTATGAAATAGGTATTGCCACTAGTTGTGCTTTACAGATAAGAGGTCTAAGGCTCAGAGAGGTGAAGTAATTTACCCATGGTCATGGCATTACCAAGAAGCAGAGCTGAGCTTTAAACCGGGGACTTAGTCTTTACAGCCTGTGTTCCTAATCATCATGTAGTTCTTACTCAACAGAGTCACTTAGCTTTGTTTTGAGTGTTCTAGACTGTGCACTAAGAGAAAGAACAGTAAGAGGTTTTGTTACTGTTGGAAAGGAGGTAATTATTTTCATATGAAGTTATTGAGACATTATAGTATGGTAGAGATTTGTCTGAACAAAAATAATATTATATGTATATATATATAGTAACACAAAAGATAAATAGCCAACTGGAAAATATTTGCAATGAAGATGAAAGAGATAATGAGAAGATAAAAGTCCTATTTAAAAAGATTTTTTAAAAGTATGCTTAGTGCTTGGTGCTGGTGGCTGACACCTGTTATCCTGGCTACTTGGGAGGCTGAGATCAGGAGGGTTGAGGTTCCAGGCCAGCCCAGGCAAATAGTTCATGAGACCCCCATCTCCAAAATAACCAAAGCAAAATGACTTGGAGGTTTGGCTCAAGCAGTAGAGTGCCTGCTTTGCAAGCTCGAAATCCTGAGTTCAAACCCCAGTCCCACCTCCCAGAAAAAGCATGCTTAGTATGTAGTTGATCAACTAATAAACTAAGTTTTTTCCTTTGTGATTTAGAATGTTTCTTTAACTCTGAACCTGATTTCAGTGTATATTTTATCATTTCTACAATGTCAGTCATGTTTTATTCCCAGTAAGGACACTTTAATTCCTTGCTGCTTACCAGGCCCTGTTAGGAGTGCTTTTACCTGCACTTTTCACCAAGGCACTAGAATAGGAACTGCAAAAAGTAGGAACTATCTCTTACTGTGACCCCAGCACTTAGAATAGCACAGGACCCAGAGGAGAGTTGTTGCAAATGTTTGTTAAGTAAATGGACCAATAGCTTTATGAAGTGTAGGAATCTGTCAGGCATGGTGGCACACAGAAGGCAGGATGATTGCAAGTTTGAAGCCAGCCTGGGCTGTATAGTGAGTTTGAGGCCAGCCTAGACTCTACAGTGAGACCCTGTCTCAAGGGGGAAAAAAATAGCAATGTATTGGTTTTTAAGAATATTTTTAACCTAAAAGTGCCCTTCTAGAACAGAGCTATGATCTGCATAGCCCCAGGATCTGTCTTTTTATAGTTCCAAGGAAGTAGTTTGAAGCAAGTCCTATTTGTCTTCCAAAGCATAATCTCAAGGCTTCAAGATTGTGCCCAGAAGATGTCTACTTATATCCTTAGTATACAGGAATGATCACACGCCAGGCCTCATCTGATTCTGTAAGATTGTCTAATGAAAACACATTTCAGAGAAGAGGAAACTGAAACCTATAGATTTTAAACAGCTTGCCTAAGGTTACATGACTGGAGAGAATGGGAGCAAGGATTTACATCCACACCTCCCTAAATCTAAAGCCCCTGCTTATCCCTCTGCTCTGCAGAATTTCATATTTGTTTATGTTTTCTAGCTTACATCTCTTTGAAACTCTCAGTTCCTGTCTGCAATGTAATGAGGCACAGTTTTTTGTTATTGTGTTGCTTTGTGAATACCTGATTTCGGGTTTCAGCAGGAAGAAGGCAAGCCTTTAGTAATAAAAATATGAAGAGATAGCACTACATTGTTTTCTGTGTTCACCACCAGACACTATAGCATTATATCCACCGCTATTTTAATATGTATCTCTAACAGATATCTATAACTTTAAATATATATATAATAGTGTTATCACATCCAACAAAATTTAATAATTCCTGATGTTACTCAAGCCCTAGCCTATAGCCAGTTTTCTCCAGCTGTCACAGAAGCATCATTTTTAATCTGATAAGTTCGAATCAGGAAAGATGAGTTATTGTTAATATATAGTATTCGCTAATAAAATCCCCTCAGTACTCGTTGCTTTAATGCTTGCTGTTATTCACTAGCAACTTCTTCGAGAGATGCAGCAGATGGCCAGCCGTCCCTTTGCCTCTGTAAATGTTGCCTTGGAAACAGATGAAGAGCCTCCTGATCTTATTGGGGGGAGTATAAAGGTGAGAATGTCTATAGAAAGTCTCTATAACAACTTTTCAGAACTCTTTTAGGCTTCTGAATCTAGCAAACCAGAAAGAGCAAGTACCTTATTCTGTTACCTCTTGGTTTTTTTCTTGCTTTCTCTTTAACAATTAGCTAAAATACTGAGAGCACCAAAAATTCTTTTGCTCTCATTTTCCAGTTGTTAGTTCATGTCATTAAGCAGTCAGGGTATTTTAATGTAATAATTTTGTGTCTTTTAAGTATTCTATAGCATAATGCATTAAAGTTTTTATTTGAAAACAGCTAAACTGAACCACTGTTCTTTATAATTATAGTTTTTAAATCAACAAAATAACTCATTATGTAGTCTGTGGAAAGTAATTATTTTGACTCCTTCCTAAAATTATAAAGAAAGTGATAAGACTTTCTCTTTGGCAAAATGATGAAATACTTCAGATACTCTGGGAAAACACTTGTATATCCTGAAAACAACATGTTCTTATTAAAACATTATTGAACTCACAGGAAATAGGTAAAATCTCCATGGTCGTCTTCCCTTCCTCTTCTGCCCACCTCCAAAAAAAAAGCCATGAACCAAAATCGAACCATGGGTTATCTCAAGCAGTTCAAGATTGGTAACATATCACAACACCCTGCTGAAGAAGATACAAATCCTCTCCATAGGAAAACATCCCAATCCTTGTAGGATCCCACAGCTCAAGATCAAGCAGTTAATAATCACCAAGCACAAGAAGAGGCAGGTCACCATCATTGAGAGTCAGCAGAAACAACAGGTGATGGATATATGCACGGCTGCAGAAGTTATGGTTGTCATCTAAAGAACATACTAGAACTATATATGAAGTGTTTAAAAGAAGTAAAAGATGGAGCTGGATTTTATGGCACACACCTGTAATTCTAGCAGTGGGGTTGGTGGGGGCTAAAGCAGGAGGATCATGAGTTCAAGGCCAGACTGGCATGCATACCACATAGCAAGTTCAAGGTCAGCCCAAGCTACAAAATGAGATACTGTCTCAAAAAGAAGAAGATGGAATCATAGAGATGAGAAAGTCATGAGAGTTGAGAATAGCCAAGCAATATGAAAAAGAACCACATGGAACTTCTAGAAATGAAAAAATATAGTAGCTGAAAACCTTAAATAACTCATTCTACATGTTAAACAGCACATTAGACACAAAATGAGAAGAGGAAAGACTGGAGAGGAACTTGAGAAAATTACATAGAATGCAGTAGAGAAACAAGGAAATAGAAAATGTAACAGATATGAGAATATGGAGAACAGGATTAAAAGATACAATGTATGTATTTTCTGAGTACCAGACCAAATGAATAGAGGAAAGGCAATTCAAGAAGTCAATGGCTGTGCTGGCTTCAGCAGCACATATACTAAAATCGGAACAATATGGAGAAGATTAGCATGGCCCCTGTGCAAGGAGGGCATGCAAATTCATGAAGTGTTCCATTAAAAAAAAAAATTAATGGCTGACAACTTTCTAGAATTCAAGGAAGACATGTATATACAGATTCCAGAAGCAAAACCTATCATAAGCAGGATTAAAGAAAGCAAGTAAGAAGGAAGACAGGAAGAAAAAACACTATAGTTGAATTTATCATAGTAAGACTACAGAACTACAAAGACAAATGACATTTTAAAATCAAATAGAGATTTAAAAAAATCACCTACAATGTGAAGAAATTAGAATCCTGCATTGGTGGTGGAAATGTAAAATGATGGAGCCACTGTAAAACTTGAAAATTAGTTTACTATCCCTTAAAAAAATTAAAACTAAGCCGACGCCAGTGATTAAAGTTGTCAGCCAATAATCCTAGCTACTCAGGAGGCAGAGAGTTCAGAGCCAGCCCAGGCAAATAATTCACAAGACGCTTTCTTGAAAAAACATCACAAAAACTGCTGGTGGAGTGGCTCAAGGTGTAGGCCCCAAGTTCAAACTCCAGTGCTGCCAAAAAAAAAAAACAAAGAAAAAAAGAAATTAAAAATAAGGTGGACATCAGTGCCTCATGCTTATACTTAACTACTTGGGAGACTGAGATCAGGAGATTTGCGATTAGAGGCCAATGTGGGCAAATAGTCTGAGAGACTCCATCTCCAAAAGAACCACATGAAAATGAACTGGAAGTATGGCTCAGGTGGTAGAACCCCTGCTTTGCAAGCACAAAGCCCTGTGTTCAAACTCCAGTCCCCCCCAAAAAAAAAACATTAAAAATAGAATTATCATATAATCTAACAATTCTACTTCTGGCTATATGCCTCAAAGAATTGAAAGCAGGGAGATATTTATATATCAGTGTTCATGGCAGCATGTTCATAATAGGCAAAAAACAGAAATGCCCATCAATAGACGAACGAATGGGTAAGCAAAATGTGGTGTGTAACCACTGCACACTATTCCAGGGTCAGCCTTAAGAGAGGACGTTCCAGCACCTGTTACAATAGGGAAGAATTGTGAGGACATTGTGCTAAGTGAAGTTAGCTAGGTACAAAAAAAAAATCCCTAATACTATTTGATTCCACTTACATGAAATATGTAGAATAGTCAAATTTATAGGACAGAAAATAGAATGGTGGTTGCTAGGGGCTTGGGGAGAAGAGAATGGAAAGTTACTGTTCAATGGGTATAGAGTTTCAATTTTGCAAGATGAAAAGAGTTCTGGAGACAGATGGTCTCTACAATGACAGGTGGTGATCATTGTACCTAATACACTGTACACTTTTAGATGATTAAGACAGCAAATTTCACATGTATTTTAAGACAGTTTTTTAAAAATTGTGAAGGGTTGAGCATGTACCTCAGTGGTAAGCTCTTGTCTAACATAAGGCTCTGGATTCAATCCCCAGCACTACCAAAAAAAAAAAAAAAAAAAAAAAAAAACGGAAAAGAAAAGATCACTGAAAGGAATGATAGAATAACATTAATGACATCAGAAGCTAGGACTGAAGGAGAATTGCCAGCGTGGAATATTGTGCAGTAAGTACTGTTCAAAAACAAGGAAGAGAAGTTTCCAGAACTGGTGGCAGTCATAAATAGGCCTTGTATCTCTAAGCAGAGAATCCTACAGCTTGCATGGACTTCTGATATATAAAATTATGAGACAGTGAATGGGTATAGTTTTAGGCAACTAAGTTTGTAGTAATGGGCTATGCAGCAGTAAAAAATAACAGAGGACATCTTTACAAATCACATCTAAAGCTGTAATAAAAAATGAAGGCATATTTTCCAAAGCCAAATGCATCCAAAGAGAGGAATCCATTTGGTGAGTGATCCATCTTTTACAAGCTCTTACATCCAGTGAAATTATCTTCTTGCACATATGAATAAAAAATTAAAAATCTAACTCAAAAAATAAATAAATAAAAAATCCCTGACCAAAATTAAAAAAAAAAAAAGAAATTATCCTCTTAGTGACTGAAGAATAGATGAAAATAAGCTTGAATTTAAAGCTATTAAAGCAGAAGTCTCCATAAGGTCAGAGTCTGTGTTTGAGTCAGGTGTGCAGAACTATCTGACAAGTCTACCAACCACCCTGCCAATCCTGTGGCCTGTAAGTGTGAATTAGGGTTCCAAATGGAGGAAAACCACAGAGCCCAAAAAGGAGCCAGCTGATGTGGACCCTTCATGCACATCAGGCAATCATTTGGGAGGGTGGGTGTGAAAACCTCAAGAGAAAGCAGCAACAGTACCATCCTTTTCACTGGTGTTCAACGAGTACTGTTCTCTTTAACTGTCATTTTCATTATCTTAAGAACTGTGGTGTTTCTTCTTCTGAGTACCTAAAGTTTGTGGTTCTTGCAAGCACCAATGACTGAAATGTCTGGGTAGGTTAATTTTTTGTTTTCATCCACCAGACTGTTCCCAAGCCCATTGCTCTGGAGCCATGTTTTGGCAACAAAGCCGCAGTCCTCTCTGTGTTTGTGAGACTCCCTCGAGGCTTAGGTGGAATCCCTCCTCCTGGGCAGTCAGGTGAGTAGATGGGAGTTAGTGACAAACAGGTGTCAACTGTGAAGGAGCTAAGCCTGGGATACTTCCCCCTCAGGATAAGGGCAATATTGAATAGTGCTACCTCTTGTGGTGGCAAGACATCATCGATATAATACCATTGTCACTTACATTTCCCCAGAGTTTTTCTGAGGTTACCCACCACTCCCTTCCTGGGGTGAAGTCTAGGACCCTCCTTACCTTGCCTTCTTCCTTAGCCTCTCAGTAGTAGGTGATGCTACAAACCACACCTTCCTCTGCCCCGATGTTTCTGTTCCTCTTTGGCCCTACTGCCAAAGACCTAGTACTGCTAACCCCTCTTCCCTCCTTTTCCTTGTTTCTCCCCCTGCATTTAGGCTTTCTCCTCCTCCACTCCATATGCTTCTCCTAATCATCCCATGCTCTGACTTCCAGCCTCCAACCAGAAGCTGATGATGCTCAAATTGGTATTTCTAGGCCTACTCTATTTCTTTTGCTTTCTTACTCTGTTTTAAATATAAGGTAACATTAAAATAACATAAAGAAGATTTTTGAAAATTTGCAGTTCCACTATGCTAACACCCACCAGTTCTCATTATTGTTTCTTTCCCAGCCTGTGCCAGCGATTTAATTAAAATGATCACACAGATCTAATTTTTATTCTTCCTTTTTCACATAATGATCATTTACATTTTTGCAGCTTGCTACATATTTTACCACTGTCTTTTGTACTTTTATCAAATACATGAATCATAGTTTATCTAAATATTCTGTGATTTTGAACACAAAGGCAGTGTAGAATACTGTCTTGGAAGGACCTTGATTAATCATGGAGGAATGCCTCAAGCCACATAAACATTTTAGACAACCTTCAGTTGTGGTGATCCTGGGGTCAGGGTTGCCTTAGCCAAAGACTTTGAGTCTGGGAGGGTCGTATACCCCAGACCTTTGTCCTCTGAGCTCCATGTCACCACTATGCACCTTGAGACCCAAAAGGGCCTCTGGGTCAGCGTGTGCAATGGCAGGGATCTATGGTGTTCTCACAAAGGAGGCCTTAAATATGGTGAGGCGAGGATTCATCATCTATCACCTTGGCATCCCTGGGCATTGAGCCCCTAACTCTACCTTGCCAATACTGAGGACAGGGTGACTGTGACCTGACACTCTGCCATCATTGGTACTCCCTGAAGACGAGATGGACCTAGGGAGGTGACAGGTTTGCAGCACTATAGCTTTCCTGCCCCATTCTTTGCCTAATGCTCCCTACCCCCAGGACACCTAATGAAGCCCTGCTCACTGCTTAAGACCCACCCAACAGTGAGGCCATCGTTGCCAACCCTTCCACACTTTTGTTTTTGAAACAGGGTCTTGGTGTGTAATCCAGGTTGGCTGTGAATGCTTGATCCTCCTGCCTCAGCCTTTTGAGTGCTAGGATTACAGGGGTGTGCTGCTCCCATTCCCATTGTTTTATGTGAACTTTTTTTTTTTAGTGCTTGTATTGAACCCAGGGCCTAGCACGTTAGGCAAGTGCTCTACTAATGAGCCACACCTCCAGTCTTCCACTGTATTAAATTGTGCCCTTTTCCCAGTACTCCTGACTCTGCCTTTGCCAAAGCTGTTATTATTTGTGTGGATTCCCCTACAGTGTGTCAGGCACTAAACTGGTTTAAGAGGCATCCCTTCCTCCCTCATTTTAAAAGGCTTGGCAGAAGTAAAGTTATAAAACTCCCCAACAGCTCCTAGGGCAGACTCAGCAGGGCTCTAGGTGTAGACTGGCCATTTCCCCCAGTGCTAGGAATTTAGTTTCCTCAGGAAGTTGACTTCCCTAATAAATGCCAGGTTCATTAGTTACTAGTGCAGAAAGAGAATGGGACCACAGTCCCCAAAGCAAGGGTGGGGATGGCAATGAGAGTGAAAGAGAATAGTTATTGATGATTGCTGTGTGCCAGGTCCTAAGACTTTACCTCTGTTCACTCACTGACTCCTCCTAGTAGTCCTGTGCTAGTGTCACCCCACTTCACGAGGGAGGAAACTGAGATACCTTGCTTACTAAACCCTGGCCCCAGAATCTGCCCTGCCCTGTATCATGGTATAGATATAAAGATAACTTCTGCTGACCCAGTGACATGGGATGAGTCTGAACTTCATTGTAAGGTGGTCTGCTTTTCCTTGCCACCCTTTTGGAGATAGGCAGGAGAGGTGCACACTGGAAGCACAGTTGCAATCTCATTTGTTCCCACACTGAGCAGAGCCCTTGCTTGGGCTACCTGCTGCCAAGCAAGCTACACTTTTTACATTAAAAATGAAGAAGGATGGAAAATATGTGTTTACATTTGCATAAGTAAATCCTGAAAGAATATGAAACTAAGCCAGGTGCTGGTGGCTCATGCCTGTAATCCTAGCTACTCAGGAGGCAGAGATCAGGAGGATCGAAGTTCAAAGCCAGCCAGGGCAAATAGTTTACAAGACCCTATCTCAAAGAAAGCCATCACAAAAAAGGGCTGGTGGAGTGGCTCACGGTGTAGGTCCTGAATTCAAACCCCAGTACTGCCAAAAAAAAAAAAAAAAACCAAAGAATATGAAACTAATGAGTTTACCCTTCCAGATTGATGGGGGTGAAGGGAAAGGAAAAATTTAAATTATTTAGAAGCAAAAGCAAGCTGCTCTTTGACATGTGTCTCTTCTGTGGGTTCTCCCAAGGTCTTGCCGTGGCCAGCGCCTTGGTGGACATTTCTCAGCAGATGCCCATAGTGTACAAGGAGAAATCAGGAGCGGTGAGAAACCGGAAGCAGCAGCCCCCTGCACAGCCTGGAACCTGCATTTGATGCTGGGGCCAGAGACTCTCCCATGCATACAGGGGCATGGCCATGGCCAACCGGAGCCCTCTGCAGGGGAGGGAGCAGGCAAGGAAGTGGTGGTGCGGTTCGGGGCAGAAAACTGGAAACCTTTGACGCATCTGACTCATCTGCATGATCACAAGCTTTCTTTGACGGTTTCTCCCATCTGTGTCCAGCATCTAACCTTTTACTTTTGCATAGGAAACAATAGATTTAATTACAGGTCCAGGAATGACCCGCTGTGGCTGGAGGAGGCCAGAGTAGAGCCAGTGTAGAGCTAGGAATGATGCCCAGGTTCAGTTGTGGGAACTCTTCTTGGGACTGTCTCAACTGTAGAAAATGAAAGATGAAGTGTTTGCAAGCAGACTAAGGTCGTTAGCTCTTCAACATGGTCTTTTAAACACCAGTCAGATGCATTAACTTGTTTTCATCTGAAGCCTGCTGTCTTTTTAACAGATTCGCTGTTTACTCTCAATTTCAGCAGATATCTTGTTTCCAGAAAATAGCTTTTTTCTAGTTGATGATTAATAATGGTCCATCTCTTTTAAATCATATCAAACTAGGATACAAGGGGCTATTTTAAATGTCAAGGTCAGCAGTGTTACTTAGAATGTAAATGGATGTAATAGGTAGTTTTCTATGGCGACTTGATTTAGTCTTAGTCCATTGAAATTCTCTCTTCCTGTCTCTCTCTCTCTCTCTCTCTCTCTCTCTCTCTCTCTCTCTCCTCTCCCCTCCCCCTCCCTCCTTCTCTCTCTCTCACACACACACATGCACACACACACACACACACTAAGTGCCTAGACTTTAAATAGATCTAGCAATTGGAAAGTTAGTAAGCCTAAGTTTTTACATAATTGCATTCCTACATTCTTGTAAAATTTAAACGGCTACCATTGGCAGTCTGCTCTTTTTCTAGAATCTAATTTGCAGCCAGGAAAGAATTTTGTCACCCCACGGAACACTTGACCTAGCAGCAAGGACTGAGGAAATCGGAAATGAACTAACTGAAAGCACCTGTTTTTATTGTTCTGGAAAAGGACACTGTCAAGAAAGCGCAGTCCTATGTACCACCTGCCCCTGCCCAGTATCACTCTAAGCCTGATATTTGATCAGCCCTCTGGCCTCCTCCTGCTAAGGCGTCACAGATGAAGAGACTTGTCACATGTCTCCTTTGAGCAGAAAAATCGCACTGAGTACTCTTGGGATACCTGGGTCAAAGGGCAGTTCTGTGTTCCTGTAGCCTTCTCTGAACCTGTGGGTCATCGTGGGGATAGAGTGGACATCAGGAGGACAGCCCCTCTGCCCAGAGCCTTGAGAAGGACCTGGAACTGTCTGCCCTTTCTCCCCCAGGCATGTCTCAGTCCACCCATCCTCCTCCCAGACCAAGCCAGTGGCTGTGACGAGGGCAGTGAATGCTGATAAGGATGAAAAGCACATGGGAAAAATGGACAAGAACCAAATTTAAGAGGGGTGGGACAGTCCCCTGCTCTCCCACAGGGCCAGCCTGGGTATTAGGTTTCCCCATTTATGGTGCTCTGTATTCCGGCATTATGCAGCAGCCTCCCACAGTCTCTCTTCTGCTTGAAAACCTGCAACTCTGGTATTATTGGATTGGGATCATCCTCTGGACAGCAGTGCTCAAGTTTGTGAATTAGGAGAAATTAACACTCAAAAGAGTAAAAACTGCGGCATTTCACCTTTAAAAGCAGTGCCTGAAGAGGGAGTTTTTTCTCTAATACAACACTAACCCCACTCCCACGAAGAAGCTCTTGGAAAGATGTTTCCAAGAAAGTTGAACCATAAAACACTGATGCACAAACACCTCTACTGTGAGACTCACCTCTCAAAAAGCTTTTTCACATCATTGTTAAAGAGCAGACAGTTCTAGAAAAGACCCTGTGTTAGGAGCTCCCACATCCCTACCAGAACACAGCACCTGTAGAGCACCTGCAGTGGCTTGGCCCTTCCCTCCCTATAACTACCAGAAGGCATCATGGCGAAAAGAGGGAAGCCACTAGGGTCTCTCCTACAAGGAAGATACTCCTGGTTTGTTCAAAGGACCAAACTCCATTGGCCAAAGAAGTCTCTTTGCCATGGTAGTCCTTAAAATGTGCACCGTGATCCCCAGCCACCTGATTATGTCATTTTTTTTCCCCTAAAAGATAATGTTTATTTTTTAAAAGAAAGAAGCAAATGAAGTTTAATTTTGCTCCAGCAATGGAGAAACAGCTGCTTCCACCTGCTTTTCCTTTGCAGCTGACAACATGCAACTTCCTCCAGGCTCGGGGCAGACGGAGTGGCCCGGAGGAAGAGTGCGTAGCTCAGAGCCAGTTCCCAGAGGAAGTGGGTCACCTGGTAACTTCACCTGTCACAGGAGAGCCTGTACATAAAACACTCACAAAAACATGCACTTGTACATAACTATACAGTAGTGTTCAGAATGCTCAGACATTCAGAGTGTACATAAGACAAAAAAACGTAATGTATTTTTATTAAATGTAACATCTGAGTTTCACCTGATAGGTTTCTGTGCCATATACTGGGTATCCAAGCTCTAGGAAGTCCTCTCATCAGACTCTGATTCATTCATAACAAGGCCAAGAATTACACCGCCTTGTGTTAATGTGTTCAGTTGCGTATGATATGGATTAGATAACTCAAAGACTCATCTGTCAGAATGCCTAGGAAGAGAGTAGGGCATGGTGGTGTATGCCTGTGATCCCAGCACTCAGGAAGCTGAGGCAGGAAGATCAAGTGTTCAAGGTCAGCCTGTGCTACTTAGTGAGACCCTGTCAAAAAAAGAAAAAACACCTACTAAGAGTCAGGCAGTGAGTCTGTTTACACAGCATTATGCAAAGGGACTTGGGAAGTAAGGGTCCACCACTGTTGGCTCTACAAGGTCCTTGTGAATCTTAAGCCTTTTGGTACTCTGAGGCCCAAGAGAGACTCTGAGACCAGTCACATCCTGAGACAGGTTTCTCTAGTCTTTAAGTTCAAACACTATAACCTGTGGACATCAGACTTTCCAAAAAGAGGTTCTCCAGGCTGCCTTTTTTTGTGGCTTTATCTAAAAATTTTAATGACTACTTCTGAGAACCATAATTCTTTTATACTGAAAACTGGGAATGGGGGAAGAGAGGCTCAATTGGTGAATAGCTCCATTTCCCTGTAATGATCTCACACTGGCCTCCTGTCCACCTCTTACCTCTCCCTACACAGTCTGGGGAGGGGCCTGTGATTCCCTCTGAGTGTCACCTGTAAGGAGCAAGGAGGTATATAGAAAGAAGGCAGCCCATACTCCGCTGAGCTAGCCTGGAAGAAGGCTGTTACAAATAGGAAAATACTAGAATGTCATGTGTATGTCCTGAAGTACAAGATTAGATATGCACTGGGAAATCAGGCAAATAAGAACACATTCTGGGTAGGAAAAGACATTTTGCCTACTAGTGCCCATCTTGCTCCTTTAATTTAATGAAGTATAGGGGGGTTGGGGAGGTGTTTTACTTCCTTGGGAGATGGTGTTTTCCTGAACACCTTTGATCCTTCCTTTCCTCCATGGATTCATCCATTCATTCAACAAATAGTTACTTAACACTTACTAACAAAGTTAGTAAGTAACAAGATGAAAAAGTAGCTCTTTTGAATTATAGCAAGGTCCAACGCCTCACAGCCCATCATCCTGGAGGATTCCTTGTGGGGTTTCTGTGAAAAGTGCCATCCTGAGGGCAGAACCAGAAGGGCAGAGGCCTCCTGTCCTTGGTGTGGGCCCTGGTTCCCCTGCGGAAATCTGAAATGTTTACTCTGGTGACCAACCTGTATGGTCTCCAACCATGCAGACCCCAGGACGGCTTCTGGATAGAGGCCTCACCCCTAGCAGAGCCAAGCCACGAGTTCACATGCCCAGCCTGCAGGGAGCCCTCTCTGGAGTGCAGAGGGAAACTGGCCCTTCTCTTCCAAAGGCAATAATGGAGTTGACTCTCAGTAACTGAATCTGTGCACAAAACATTCTGAATACTAGTGAAGCCTGTTTCGTTGAACTGATTCTGGCTCTTGGAAATGGTTTTGTTTTGTTGTTATTTACGGTTTCATTTGTTTGGATTCGAGCTTAGTTTGTTAATATGTATAATTCAGCGTCTGTTGCACTCGTGTAAATAAGGAGTAGGTGTTGTAAACTATGGTGTTATACATACATTTAGGACTGCGATTTTTGGAATTTTTTGTATTGTAAAATAACAGCTAATTTAAGCAAGAACAAGAAAATTAAGGGAGGTCTGTGCATTTTAAACACAAATGTGAAGCACCTGTATATAAACAGAAGTAAATACTATAATACAAACTTCCTTCTGAAATAAAAGTAGATCTGGTAAAAAAAAAATGTAGGTTTTGTTCTAAGTGTCTGATTCTAATTTTGGTTTGGTTTGGTTTATATTTACATTTTGGCCGTTAGAACCTTAAGGAAAACATAAAGCATTTTAAACATCACCAGTTTTCACACTGCCTCAGAGAAAGCTCTCGGCAGTCTCAAGGTAAAGGTGTGAAACCAGAGGTCAGGAACACTGCAGAAGCGCACATACCTCACAGCCAGCAAGGGCAGGTCCAGGTCTGAGCAGCAGGTTGTTGAATTGCCTAGCGACACTCCCCCACCAGTTATGTTCTGTTTCCAGTTGCCCCCTTCTCCTTCTCCATGTCCTCACAGACTCCCATGTCTCTTAAATTTTCAAAACCTGCTAATTCTGAGAGCCCAACCATAAAATCTGACAGGTTCGGTGAACACACAGTGTTGTCTTTGCAAGTTTTTCATCTTATCAGAAATTCAGCTCTCACAGCCACTGGCGCCTGGCTTGGTCTTGAATCTTTGGTGAGGTTATTTCCATTCAGAAAGCCACGTTTGAGTCTGGCACTGGTGGCTCACATTTGTAATCCTAGCTAGTTAGGCAGAGATTAGGAGTATCAAAGTTGGCAGCCAGCCCTGGCAAATTGTTCAAGAGATCCCTAGCTCAAAAATACTCAACATGAAAAAGGGCTGGCAGAGCGGCTCAAGTGGTACAATGCCTGCCTAGCAAGCGTGAGGCCCTGAGTTCAAACCACAGTACTATAGACGAAAGCAAAACAACCCCCGGAGTACCGTGGGAGCTGCCAGCAGTTCCTGGCAGAATAACCTGGCAGCTGCGTGTGGTGGTGCATGCCTGTAATCCCAGAACATGGGAGGGTGAGGCAGGAGTTTGTGGTCAACCTGGGCCACATACTGACTCTTAAAAAAAAAAAAAGCAAAACAAAAAACTGGCAGAGATGTTGCTGGCTGTGTTCACCAAATCTTTAAATCTACAGGTCAACATTTCCTAGCCCCTTGCAAGTTAGGCTGGGACCAAACTGGGCTATAGCCCTGGAGATAACACTCTCCAGGGAGAGTCCCATGCTCCCACGTGGGACTCTCCCTGGAGACCACGGATTAAAGGTGTTGCAGGGAACGTGGCTCTGAGTCACCACTTAGATGCAAACCACCTGATCAGCAAGAACTATGCTAGCCTTTGCATCACTGAAAGGCAAACCTTTACTGAGATTAAGACCTTTGTTACTCTCACTAATGTACAAAATAGTATCACAAGTGCAATGCAAATGTGACCCAAAACACTTGCCACTGGCTTAGTGACCAGGTGGCACACAGTGAGAAACCAAATGCAGCAGGCAGGACAGCTGAAGGTCCCTGGCAGTGATGACAAACATCTGGAAGTTTGTTACATTTGATAACTTGGATAGCAAGTCATGTCTATTAGGTTTTTAGCTTGAGGGGAAAAGTTGGAAAAAAACAGAATATGGCATGTGTTGATTGATGTTGGCTGCTTTGGGCAAGACACTGCAAGAAAGAGTTGAATGCTAGAATCAGCCAGTTTACAAGTAGAAGTAAAAGGGGTGGAGAACCTGAAGTCCAGGATCTTGTGATGGAGGAGAAGCCAAATGCTGCTAGTTTTGAAACAACAGGAGGTGCTGGTGAGCAGCAAAGAACTGTTGAGACTTGGTCTAACACAATGACTGGGCCTCATGGTAAAAATCAGATGAGGCCATGGCCTCCTCACTTGAACCTCAGGCTGAGATATGGATAAGGAAGCAAAGAATAAAACCAACATGAGAACTATCCTGGAAAGAGCCACGGGTGTAGTCCCTGCTGCCTGGGAAACAGAAAAAGTGTATAAAAACATGTATAAGTTTGTCTTGAAGTATAGCTCGGTAGTACCTTGGATGCACAAAGCCCTGGGGCCCAGTACTGCTGGAAGAAAAAAAAAAAAGCTCTCTTCATAGCATAGATACATGGGACCTCATAAAGCTAAAAAGCTTCTGTTCATCAAAAGAAATGGTCTCTAAACTGAAGAGAACACCCACAGAGTGGGAGAAAATATTTGCCAGCTACACATCAGACAAAGGACTGATAACCAGAATATATAGGGAACTTAAAAAACTAAATTCTCCCAAAACTAATGAATCAATAAAGAAATGGGCAAGTGAACTAAACAGAACTTTCTCAAAAGAAGAAATTCAAAAAAGCTCTCTTCTACTCTCCATCAGCATTGTGGGCTTGCTCACACACAGCACAACAGAATTGAAGGAGCCTAGGTTCCTGGATGACTGGACCAGAGAGCTTTAACCAAAGGTAGTGGAACTAGGTATCCCTTCATACCCTGCCTAATATTGTCATTCATCTGGTCATTCAACAAGTTTTCATTGAGCACGACAGGACCAGGCATTGTGAAGGGGACAGAGGTTTTGCAGTGAACAAAACAAATTCCCTGTCCTTGAGGCAGGTGGAGTCTAGTCGTGGAGAGCATAATAAATAAACTGGCAGATGATAAATTCTGTAGAGAGTCCAAAGTCGGGTTAGAGGGTAGAAAAGGCTGGGGGGATTATAACAACACTGTGCGACTGGGGAGGGCCACTGTGACAAAGTGACAGCTGAGCGGAGAACTGAATGGAGGAGGCAGGAATATGGATGTCTGGAAGGATATCTCGGTTGGAACAGCAGGTGCAGAGGCCCTGAGGCGGCAGCATTCCAGGTCGGTACAAACACTGACAAGGCAGCCAGGGTGCCTGGAGCAAAGTGGACAGGACAGCAGTGGTAAGAGTCAAGGATGGGGCTGGGTAATGTTGGGCAATGGTTATGGGGGCAAAGCACTGCCCCCTAGTGGACGTTTTAAATAGGCGGCAACAGTGATTATCACAGTGATCAGGGGATGATACTGTGATTTAGTGGGTGAGTTTGAAGGTACACCTCCTGTGAGGTGCAAGACTGCCCCACCCAACAAGGAATTGACCTACATCCTCCAACTTTCCATATCTTGCTAAATATTTGGTTTTTTGTTTGTTTGTTTTGATTAATCTGTTCAATTTATTTCTTCTTTTCTAAAGCATTGTGTAAAATATATTAAATATAGTTGTGGATACATGGTATCAATTATAACATCTTTAAATTTTTTAAAATCTCGAGTAGTTTATAATACAATTAAATATTTCAAACAAGTTTGAAGAGCAACAAACACATCTATGTGTTTTTGAATAAATATTACTTATTCGAGTTTCTCTAAGGTATACTTTGTCATGTCTTTTTTATAAATGAATAAATTGAGGCTGGATGGGGCCACGGGGTCCCAAAGTTATATACCTAATAAGTGGGGGTAACTAAATTTGAACCCAAATATCATAAGTATACCCTTCCTTAAACTGTGCTAGACTACATACCTATTTACCTAACAAAGCAACTTTAGAACAAAAAGAAATATTAAAGTAAAAATCAGTATATTCTCTATTAATATTTAACTTTAACAAATAATTTATTTCATCCTAACATTTCTTACACTCAAATCCTCGCAGTTTATCTGTAACCCTCGAAATGGCTTGGCATCAAAATGCTTCTGGCTGTTTAGCAAGACAGGATCTTGATTATCTTTAGCTTTCTCAGGGATAGTTGTTGAATCTTCCACTTTTCTTAAACTCTGATGGTTTGACAATATCTGCTTCTATCTCAACACTGAAATGCTCCAGCTCATACCTCACCTTTTTTCCTCCTTTGTCTTCAGTTTCCTAACGACTAGGTACTATCATAGCAAAGTAAGGTCACCCTGCTATCCCTCCTAAAACTACACTTACCAACTTCAACTAACATTAGAATTATCTGCACAATCTTAATAATATTAATTACCCATCAATACTAATTTTTCAGTCTTGCCCATTCTTTTTTTTTTTTATTCATATGTGCATACAAGGCTTGGGTCATTTCTCCACCCTGTCCCCACCCCCTCCCTTACCACCCACTCCGCCCCCTCCCTCTCCCCTCTACCCCCTCAATACCCAGCAGAAACTATTTTGCCCTTATCTCTAATTTTGTTGTAGAGAGAGTATAAGCCATAATAGGAAGGAACGAGGGTTCTTGCTGAATATTTGTAAGATGAAACAAATCTGTTTCTAATTATTTTAGTATAGAAGTTAGCCTTATTTAAACACAATTTGAGAGCTGGCTTAATAATACAGTTTTTCAGCAATGCAACTGCTCTTTAAATCAAGGGAAGGCTGAACTTGTTTTTCTAAGAGCTTTACCACAATCTGCTCCTTTTGGAAAATTCTGTCACAGTAATATCATTCCTGTCATCTGAGTCCCCATCCCCCACACGCCTGTATGGGGCACAGATACATACACATACCTCCTGTGTTAAGCCAGGAAACATGCCTGGTGAGAATTTCCCTATGTCCCCAACCCAAGAAAGGGATTAGGCCATATGATCTCAATGACAGCAGGAAGTGTGCTGGACAGAGTTCAGCTCAGCTCTGCTGCTGGCACCCCTTTGTTAATTAATTGGTTTGTTTCATGGTGCTGGGGATCAAATCCAGGGCCTTGCATGTAGTAGGCAAGCATTCTACCTCTGAGCTACAATCCCAGCCCTCTTTGTAGGATCAGAACCCTTTGTAGGCCAAGCCTTCTCATTTGTTTATTTCCTCTTCCTTGAGGTTATATATTTTATCTTCTTGTGTGGGTACTTGTCTTAATTTCTCTGTTATCTCCTGCCTCAGTCTGGAGGCTCATTTGGACATGAGGTGACAGGTCCTTGACAGAGCAGCTTCATAAGACTTCCCTCAATCCAGTCTGCTTCAGGCTTGCAGCTCAGGAGGCTGGGGCCATGTCCCCGCCTCCATTTTATAGGCATGCCAGGCGCACTAGCAAGCTGCTCTCGGGCTGGGGACTGCTCCAGAAGTCCTGCACATCTGTTGGCCTTTGGAAATTTCACTGGCCAGTGTCCACACTTTCTGTGAAAATGAGCTGCTTCAGTGAGCTTGGCCAGATCTGACTCACTTGGGGAGGGTGGGAGAAAGGTTGGGCAGTGAGTGGTTTCCACATCAACTTTGCACATAGACAATGGGCTCCAAGCCAGGGAGCATTTATGAGCCGTGAAGGTTCCACCAATAAATCCATGCATGTTTCCAGCACCTGCCTTTCTGCCTTAGCCCCACCCCTGGGCACCTGCCGGCTGGGGAACCAATGTTGGCAACAGGTAAGAGGCCTGGGCACTGGGGTATAGTGCAGGGCCAGGACTGTAGTCTCACAGAGTACACACAAGAGTGACAGTTCTCTAGTAGCACATGGTAAGGCTACAGCTAGACTCAGCCTCAGGCATTTGATCAGGCTGTGCATAAACCAGGCCCTTTTTAGGTAAAGTGACAAACCAAACTAGCAGCCTTCAGCAACTCTAGTTTCCTGGTCCAGTCTTGGTGCCTTAAAACAACAGATTATTCCCACAGTTCTGGAGGTCAGAGGTCTAGAACAGAGGTACTGGCAGGGCTGTGCTCCCTCTGGAGGCTCTGGAGAAATTCAGGCTTTGCCTGCTCTAGGTTCCAGGGTGCCTGACATCCTTTAGCTTTTGCTGTATTACTCCAGTCTCTGCCTGTCCTTCCATGGCCTTTTCCTGTGTGTCTGGGTCTCTGTCTCTCTCTGCATTGTTCTATAAGGAGACATGGGATTGTGGTTAGGGCCCACTTGGATAATCCAGGATAGGTAACTCCTCTCCAGACTCATGTCACATCTTTTGCCATTCGTGGTGATACTCTTTTGCCTCTGTTCACCATAATGGGGATTAGGACATGGACATTTCTTTGGGACTACCAGTAGCCATGAATAGTCTCACTGTTTTAAATAGGTCCTGCTCTTTTCAGTGCTCCAGTATTTTGGAAGACATATGTTTCTCTAACCAAAATTCTATTTTTATTTGGAGTTGTTTAAACTCTTTTAAAAAATTATTATTTGGGGGGGGTTTAACTCAGTCTTACTTGCTAGGCAGGTGCTTTACCACTTAAGCCATGCCCCCTGCCCTTTTTTTGCTTTTAGTTGTTTTTCAGATGGGGTCTCATTTTTTGCCAAGGAGTATCCTCAGACCTTAATCCTCCCTATGCCTCCTTCATAGCTGGGATTACAGGCATATACCACCATGCCCAGTAAGGCTCTCACTTTTCTTCCAGGTTGGCCTTGAACTTCCTTTACCTCTCAAGTGGCTGGGATTACAGATGTGAGCTATCATGCCTGGCCCTCCACTTTTTTAAATGCCTACATTTCACTTTGATTATCTGAGTTGAAAATGGAACATCTAAGGAAATCATTTAGCACAGGTGTCTACTCCCATGCAGGTATAAGTGGGATTGAGACTGACTTTCACTCTGCCCAAGGGTCCCCCCGATTCCAGGTGACCCTGGTGAGCCGACATCACATCCCAGGTCACAGGAAGAGACCCATAACCCATGCTGGGCCCTTACATAAGGGTCCTGCCTAGGACAGCCCATGAATGCTGGGAAAGAACGGTGCCTTTCTCTGCTGACACTGCCAGAAGGGGAGATCATACACCTGAAGCATTGGTGGCATCCTACTAACCCCTGAACCTCCTGCTCAATCCTACTCAACATAGGGCCCATGAGCTGCAGAGAAGCTGCTGGAAAGACCAGCAGAGGCAACATCATTTGAACATCCGGAGACAGCTGTGTCTGAAGCCCAGGCCACTCAGGCACCTGCCCAAGCCAGTTTGTTACAATGGGGACAGTTCCAACTGAAGCCAGGAGCTGGCTGACAGCACCAGCATGCTGGGCCTGTGGGTTTGGTGTGAGTTGCACCGCACACACTCAGTCTCAGAGCCAGTGAATCCTACTGTGGTCATGATAGCCACAGGCCTGAGTTGCAGTGTGGTCTGTACCTAACCTCCATGCCTTGAGTCAAGGGAATTCTGAAGGAGGGAGACCAGATGGGGTAGGAGCAGGAGCTGAGTAATAAGGTGGTCTTAGTGGAGTCCAGCCTCAGTCTAGTTCCACCGACTGGCTCTGGAGCTTGAATGGCAAACAGAATTGTTGCCTGTTGAGGTCCTCGTACCCCTGCCTTGGTCAGTCCTGGCCAGGGTGGCCTCAGGAGCACAAGGTAAGCTGAGAGGCATTTCTGGGCAGTGACTCTCTAGGAAGGGGACCAGGGCCCTGGTTTAGCAGCACCATTCCCTGTCCAGAGAGTCTAAGCACCAACAGCCTTCATCTCAGCCTGATTCCAACTCCTGCCTAACCTCAACTGGGCCTAGAAAGAGGCAGCCCAGAGACATGGGAGCCTACCCTGTCAGGATGTCAGTAGTCTCCAAGCTTTTCAGGAAGCAGGAAGCTTTTTAAAATCTGATAATTAGTTTTTAAAATCTGATAATTAGCAGAAATGGAAAGAAGAGACAAAAGCAAAGCAAATCCCTGCCACTAGGACCTGAGAGTTGATTCATTCTGGCAGTTGGAAGTAAGGAGATGGAACCCAGAGAGCTTCGAGGGCCATGCAAGATCACACACACCAGCAGGGGCATACCCTGTGATCAACCCTGGTCTCTAGGTTCCCAGAACAGAGACAACATGAAGACCAGGTCAGTCTCAGTGCACATGGGTTTATTAGGCATGGTGTGCCATTGCTGGCACTGGGGGTAAACCATAGGGAAGATGGCCATGTAGCCAGAGTAGCAGCACAGCAGGCAGGGTAGGAATGGGATTTGTACTCACTCCAGCTGGTGCTCACCAAGCAGTGTACCATGGGTAGCAAGCATGCTGCTAACACCGGGCCAGGGCACAGATAGATCTACTAGTTGGTAATGGCTAAGTAAGAGGGGTGCCCTGAAAGGCTGTAGTGCTAGAAAGAGTACTGCCTGTCAGTCTGTCCAGATGCATTCCTCAGTGTGTTTCTGGCTGGGAGGCAACACAATTTCCTAGTTCAAAAGTCCAGATGAGGTCTCTGACCTCCTCTGGGTCCCTGGGGAGGCTTTGGCTACAAAAATGGCCCTCTCCTGTTCCTACCCTGTGGGAGACCCCAATTGTCTCAAAGCCTGTGAAGAATACAACCAAGATGTTTATGGATAGGGAAACGAGAGGCTTTGCAGTGAGGCCCTCAGCCTCACTCCACGGGACGGGCACGAAGGTGTTCAGATGCAGGGGACAGGCACACACATGTCCAGAAGCACAAAGGTCTACAGAGAGGTCAAGCTAGTTTCTCTTCAGTGGGCAGTAGGCCAGAGACATAGCCTGTATCCCAGGCAGGGTGGGCAGTCTACTGTGTTGTCTGAAGTCAGGGTCGACTGTCCTAGTCAGACAGGGCCTGGAGAGCCAGGACAGGGAGGATGGCCAGCAGGAAGCTCCCCTCCAGGGGCTGCTCTTCAGAGGGCACCTTAGGGGTAGGAACAGAGTGAGGAGACTCTACCTGCACCCCCTTCCTAGGCCACTCATACTTCCATCTCAGCCTGCCTGGCATGGGAAGGTATGAGAGACAACCATGCAGAAACTGCCAGCTCACTGTCCCCTCCTAGCACCTACCTGCAGGAAGCTGTGCCCAGGGTCCTGGTGAGGGTCCAGCTGCTTCTGAAGGACTGCAGGCCACTCACTGTCAAAGGCTTGTATGGCACCATCTATAGAAGGACAGGTCCATGGAGGGACTGACTAGTAAACCCCGGCTCAGGACCCAGTTCCTTGGGGACAAACTGAGAGAATCCCTGGCATCTGCAAGGAATGGTTTCTGAGATGGAAGGTGCATGTGGAGGAATGACAGGACAAGGACGACTGTGGAAAAAGTGACTCACAAATTGTGCAGTCCTTCATCTTCACAGGGTAGGTGACAACTATCTCCCCTCACTTTATAGATGAACGCAATTCAATCCGAGGCCCCTAACTCCCAGACCACTTAGCCATTCAGTTCGCAAGAGGCAAGATCGCATGTGGGAGAGGCGGGAGCAAGTCGGGAAGGGAGTCCCCTCACAAGTGCTAGGAGTCTAGCCTTGTTTAATTCTGGGTCCTCAGAAACTTGTTTTGTCCTTGGAGATGCCAGCACTGACACCCCTAGGATTCTCATTGTGGTCTGCGATCTCCTCTGGGCATGGATTTCCTCGGGGGCAAGACGACAGCGGTGGGGGGTGCGGTGTGTGGAGAGGGGTGGTACCGCCTCAAAGAGCCTCGATTTCCTTCCCTCTAAAATGGGTTCCCACAACTGCCCCCACCCGGGCCCCTCACCCAAGCAGCGGTTCCGTGTAAAGAGCCCCAGGAAGGTTTCACACTCTTCGCGCCTGTTTCCGCTGGCTCCACAGTCGCACCAGGGCGCCACGCGCGCGCTCGCATTGTCCATGTAGTTTGGGGTGATGACGGTACCTGCAGAGACCCCGAAGGCGGGGTAATCCACCCAACCTGACGGAAGCACCCTCTAGAGAGCCCCCACCCGTGCCCAGATCCCTGCTGTGTGTACCCACGAGGCCTGCGTACGCACGCAGGCAGCGGGGTCCCTGGCCCAGCAGGCAGCCGTCGGGGGCGCTGGGGGCGGGCGCGCAGGAAGCTTGGTAGGCCAGGAGGCGAGGCCTGCAAGGCGGTGGGAGGGCGGTGAGCAGACAGTGGCCCCGCCCCTCACCCATCGCCCCGCCCCTTCCTACGTGCACCTGCAGACCACGCTGCGCTCGCAGGCATCCAAGGGCGCGAGGCAGGAGGGCGGTGCCAGCCGGGGTCCGGAGAAGGCGCAGGCGGGCACGAAAGTCTGACGCCGGCGCTCGGCGCATGCGGGGTCCGCGCAAGGGCAGAAAAGCAACGCGTGGGTGAGCGCGGGCGGCCCACGGGCGAAGAAGCGGCGCAGGGCGCGGTGACAGCGGGCGCGGGGACAGCCCCCCGACGCGGCCCGGCTCAGGCATTGCGCCACGTACTCGGTTCGCAGCTGCTGACATCGCGCGTCTGCTGTACACGCCTCCGCCGCGTCCAAGCAGCGGTTCCTTTCTGCGGAGCTCGCCGACCCTGGTTGGGGGGCGGGCAGGCTGCAGTCCTCCGTGTGCCCTACGAGGCACGCTTCACCCCGACTCCGCCTTTGGAAGTTGGGGGGGGCGCCCAAAACTCGAGGGCCGACAGGGCGTGGCCGATTGTTAATGACCGGACCTCGTTCGCGGGAATGGGCAGCCGCAGGTTCTGGGGGTGTCCGCACACGTCCAGGAAGGAGGCTAGGCTCAACCTTCCCCAGTAACTGTGACCCCGCCACCGCCATCCCCAGACCACATGCATCCAAGAGAGGTTCGCAAGGCTCCTCCCACCCTGACCGGAAACAGTAAGGCTTACCAGAGACCCAGCTTAATGGAAGCTATCGCAAATGGCAATGAAGACAGTTGGCCACTCCTAGTCTTCTCTTCTTAGTACACTGGGATACCAGGCCTTTCTTCATCGCTTTTTCCTTCCCCACATGGAGACCCTTTGGGTGGGCCTATAGGTTTCTAGTTCTCCCTCCTTCCTGGCCTGTGCACCTTCTCCTGCTCCTGCACAATTGTCTTCCCCATCCCGAGTCCTTCCAGAATCTCCCTCGCGGGTCTATAACTCATCCTGTCCCAGGTGGACTCGAGCTTCCTTGGCCCCTCCAACCTCCACTAACAAGCGGAAGGTAATTCCCCACAAGGACTCTGGTCATTGGGGAGCACATTTAGGCCTGACTTTCGGATGTGGATTTGGAGAAGTTCCTGATGGCAGGACACAAGGTTTTGTCCTGAGACTCAGGATGAGGGTTCATCAGTAGTTTCAGTGAAGGTGTGGCTAAATGACTGGTGAACACCCCTCCCCCAGTGGGGGTAGAGAGGCTGCCTGGACAGTGGAGTCACACATCAGAGGTCTAGATAGGAGGTCGAGCTGTGCCCACACATGCCATGGGCTACATCTAAATCCAACCAAGCCAGGGTATCGGACAGTTAGGACTTGGCAGCCCCTTCCTAAACCCTGGGTCACCAAAACCAGGCTAACCTACCCCATCCCGGCCCCTTCCTGAGACTAGAAGTCTTCCCGGCACCCCAGCCTGAGAAAAGTGCCCAGCCTGGCCCCTCATCCATCTTGGTGTGTGTGGGTCTGTGCATGGGGGTCTCCTGCCTCAGGGCTGGAAGCAGGGTCCCTCTCTGGTAACAACTGGCCATCTCTTTCTTTCTGGGCTGTGGATAGGATGGCAGGGATCGTAGTGATACTTGCTGTGGTTCCAGTACACTCAGCTCTGCAGAAAGGCCAAACCCATGCTGAGGGGTTGGAGTGAGTGGAGGAGGCAGAAGAAAGAGCAGGAGCCCTCCTCTCCCTCCTGGAGCCTTTCTCTCTCAGCCTGGCTGGGCACATTGCCAGGCCTCAGCCACACACAACAGCACCTAGTGTTCACCTAAGGTTTTGGGCCCACCTGCTCCTTTGCTTACTTGTCTCCCCTACCAGGAGCACCCTTGCCTCCTCTCCTTTCTCAAGACAGTGCATCTCAGTTCCCAAGTTCCCTGCCTTAAACCTTTACCAGATTCCATTCTCCACTGCACCCCATAAAGTGAGCCCTCCCTGTGATGCCCCAGGTAGAGGAGGGGAAGTCCTAGAAGGTGGAACAGCAGATGCCAGGGCTAAAGATACTGGGCGGAGTCATCCTGAATTTCAAAGACTAGGTGTGGAGAGCTGGGGCTGGGGAAGGTTAAGACAGTTGAGGAAGAGGGAACAATAGGGAAAGGAAAATTCCTGGGCCAGAGGTACCAAGGTTGGGAACTGGGAGACAGATGGCTCCACTGGGCCCGAAGATGGTATGCAAGGCATATGCAACACCAATGCCAAGCACAGGCCTCTTGTGGACACCCCTTCCTGCATTCCAGCTTTTCCCTAAATCCCCTCTTGCCCTCTCTCCTTGTTCCCGAAGAGCAGAGACAGACAGGCCGGAGTAGAGGGAGGAGACATGTACTCACCCAGTAGCAGCAGTAGCAGCGTGGACCCCAAACAGCAGGCCATGCCAGGTGGTAAACAGAGAAGGCCGGTGGGAGACAGAGCCCCAATTGGACAGGTGCCTCTTCTCACTCAGAAGCACAGAGGTCACCCAGGTGCCTGTGCTGCCACTTGTACTCCCGTAGGGAGGAGTCTTTGCAGCAGGAATGACATCCGGCCCTCTCCACTTGTCCCCTTGCCAGCCTGTGCCTTTAGGAAAGCCAGCCATGAAATGTGTGCCTAGGTGGACCCAGTGCACTAGCCCCACATCCACACCCAGCAATAGCTACACAGCAGCCCCAGGAGACCTTGTCGCTCATGTGCTGCTAGTAACTAGGAAGTCACGTGGAGTTTTTCCTTTCTTTATAATTCTGTTAACTAATTTTACACTTAAAACAGGCCCTGTCTGGGAGTTGGGAAGGGGGAGGATGTAGGGAAAGGGTGTAGGGACATGAATGTGGTAGAAATACTATGTAATCATGTATGAGAATGAAAAAATGAGACCTGCTGAACCTGTTCCAGGAATGGGAGGAGGAAGAATGATGGAGGAGGTGAACTCAGCTATGATCTATTATAAGAATTTGGTAAATGTCACAATATACCCCCAATACAACGCTAATTTTTTAAAAGAAGATTTTAAAAAGTCAAAAAACATTAGTGTTCCCCCTTACACCGTTCAGCTTTCCCAAACGTTAGCATCTTAGAAAATCACAGTACAAGTACTACAACTAGGAAATTAACATTGCTACAATACCATTAGCTAAACCATAGACCGTTTTTTGAATGTCCCTGGTTTTTCTACTAACACCGTCTTTCTGTTCCAAGAGCCAGTCCAGGACCCCACATTGCACTTAGTTATCTTGTCACGTCTCCTTGTAGCCTCCCATCTGGTGGTTGCAAAGTGTTCTCTCACCCAGATGCTTCGGAAGAATCCCAGTCATTTTACGGAATGCTTCTCTTTTATCTGATGTTTTCCTCTGATCACCAGGAGACACGGCATTATTTTGACCTTCTAAAAAGTTATGCTGCAAATAAATGCTGAGATTAAAAGTCTCAACATTGAGATTTAAGTGACCAAAACCAAAAAATCAAAAAATTGGACATAATTTGTCTTGGCTTTTAATGTAAATATAGAAGAATTCAGTTGACAGGAAACAGGTGTAGGTGACCTTTTTTAGAATTCATGAATAATTCTTCCTTAGAGAGATGTTAACCTCGCAGAAGTGTTAACCTGTTGTTGGGAATAAAATCTAGTGAGTAGAAAAATTACAAAAGAGAGAACACAGATACAAGTCCTTAAGGTTTTCTCTGAAATTCTCCTGTAACATTTTACGTGTGTGTGTGTGTGTGTGTGTGTGTGTGGTATTGGGGTTTGAACTCAGGGCTTCACACTTGTGAGGTAGGTGCTCTGCACTTGAGCCATGCCTTCAACTCTTTTTTGCTTTTAGTTATTTTTCAGATAAGGTCTCCTTTTGCCTGGGACTGGTCTCACCCCATAATTCTCCTACCTATGCTTCCTTTGTAGCAGGGATTATAGGTACCCACCATTATGCCCAGCCAAATAATACACACTAAGTCTCTGCTGTATCTGTGTATACTTATTTGTATTTCTAATATTTATTTATTAATCCTTCTCTTTTTTCTCAAAGTTTTGTCTGCTTTATTAGTTTTTCAAATAAATCTTTTTCTTTTTATTATCCTCTTATGTCTGTAATGCTTATTAGCTGTTTTCTGCTGCTTGCTATGTTTTTATCTCTACCTTCCTAACTTGGATCCTTATCTGGTTAAGTTTTAGGTTTTCTTGGAACAAAAAATACACATGGCCGCACATGGTGGTGCATGTCTTTAATCCCACCTATTTAGGACATGGAGGTAGGAGGATCATGGCCTGAGGCTAGCCTGGGAAAAGTGAAAGATAGCTAGCTAAAAAGTAGTCTAAAGCAAAAAGGGCTAGGGTGTGGCTCAGGTGGCAGAGAGATTGCAAGCACAAGGCCCTGAGTTCAAGCCCCAGTACTGACCCCCAAATATATATGTTTACATACATATATATGCATACATACATAGATAGCTATACATTTATTTCAAACTACCACTGTGCTACATACCCAAAGTTTTGATCATTCCTTTTTTTCTTTTTTTTTTTTTTGGACTGGGTATCACTGTGTTGACTAGGCTGACCTTGAACTCAAGATCCTCCTGCCTCAGCTTCCCAAGTAACTGGGATTATAAAGTGCACCACTATGTGCAGTTTGGTCATGTATCTATTTTTTTTTAAACCATGCCGTATAATTCCTTCTTTGAACCCTAAGTTATTTTAAAATGTGTTTTAAATTTTCCAAATATATTTTAATAAACACCAATTTTAATTGGTCATTTTATTAGTGACTTTTTACTTAATTGCTTTTTAGTTAGAAAAATCAGCCTGTACCGATTCTTTGATATGTATTGAGACTTTCTTTAATGGCCTAACATATGTGCTGTGTAGAATGTATATTCTCCTGGGATGGGAACTTGGCTCCAGTGGTAGAGTGCCTGCCTAGGAACCACAAGGCCCTGAGTTCAAATCCCAGTACTGTCAGATTAGAGAGAGAGGATAGATAGACAAAATTAAAAAAAAAATTCTAGGTCCTTTAGGACTAGCTCGTTGTTATGTCCAGGTGTTCCATATCTTTACTAATTTTCAACTACTTCACCTAATTTGTTTTTTGCTTTACCCATTAATAACTACCTTTGTCACAATCACCTCTATAATGATGAATTTGTCAATTTCATCTAGTAAAAATAAGCATATAAAAGGGTATTTTATATGCTTATAATTATTCATTTATTTTTCCCCCCAGTACTGAGAATTGAACTCATCTCTACCATTTGAGCCCTTTTTGTTTTACTTTTATTTTTCAGATAAAGTCTTGAGCTTTTTTTCCCAGACCAGTCTTGAACTATTCTCCTCCCTGTGTTTCCCAAGCTTGGGATTATAGCCCAAGCTTCCATATCGTCTTACACCATGGTCTTCTCTACCTGTCACAGTGTCTTAAAGTTTTTATTTGGTGCTAAAATTGATACACCAGCCTTCTTTCCAGAACTTTTTTTTTTGAGGCGGGGGTGGGACCAGGGTTTCAACACAGGCCTTTGTGTTTGCAAGGTAGGCACTCTGCCACTTGAGCCACACCTCTAGTCTTCCAGCTTTCTTTTATAGTTTTTCTACCCTGTTTTTTTTTTTTCAGTCTTGAACTTATCTTTCAGATGCATTTCTTTTAAGGAGAAAATAACCATTTTTTCCCTCAAATCTGGTGCTGTCTTTTAACTGGCATGTTAAATCCATTTACAGTTACTGTGTCATTGGCATGTTTGGACTTATTTCTGTGATCTTTCTGCTATTTGTTCTATGTCCCAGATTTTATGATTTTCTTTCTTTTTTTTGAGACAGGGTCTCACTATGTAGCTGAGCCTAGCCTTGAGCTTGCTATGTAGCCAGGCTACTTGCAAATTCATGATCCACCTGCCTCAGCCTCGGAAATGCTGGTACTCTAGGCACGTGCCACCATAGCTGGGTTTTTGTTGTTGTTGTTTTTAAGACAGTGTGTCTGTGTAGCCCAGGTTGGTTGGTCATAACTTTCCATCCTCCTAACTCCCTGGTGCTTCCCAAGTGACCCTGCATGGCACAGCATGTTCCTTCTTTCAGGAACTGAGTGATAATTTCTTTCAGGGAACCTCAAGATGTTTGTTTCCTCACTCAGCACCCCCATAACTTAAAATCCCACAGGAAAGGTGAGACTGACCAGAGTGGGTGATAGAAAACAGCTGTACTGGTGAAGTGAAAGCAAGTACTGAAGTAACAAAAGACCCCTCACGGTGCACCTTACTGTAGGTTTATAGAGACTCTTGATACCTGGGGTGCAAATGTTCCCTCCCTTTTTTCTTCTCTTTATTTAATTGTTTTGGATTTTCTTGAATTTTTGCTATTCTACATGCATTTTAGGAGCAGTTTGTCAAGCTCCTGAAACAAAAAATTATGTTGGGATATTTTTTGGATGTCATAGATGAATGAGTTGGGGCTGGAGCTTCTCTGGCTGTAAGTAGAAGTGGTAGATTGCAAAACTTCCTATTCTTCCCATCCTCTGAGATAAGATTTTGCTGCTGCTTTTAAGCCCCTCAGATTTGTGGTGGTTTTGTTACATGGCAACAGCTACCTGATACAAAATCTCATTCAGCAACTCTTTACATGAAGCCACAGAAGAATGAGATTTTTCAGGGGCAAGAGAGGCAGGCAAAGGGGCCGTTCAAACAGGGTAGCACCCTTGGGCCCAGACCTGAGCTTGAGGCCTGGGCTGCCTTAGAGGCTCCACTTGCCAACTGTCACCCTGTATGGTCCTCAGGATGCTTCAAGGGGTTCAGTTTACAACAGAAAAGACACACACAGGCCCTGGAGCAGTGTCTTTCTTCTGATTTCTACTCTGTTGTATTTTCTAAAATGACTCCTTTTGTCCCCCCATGGAAGGGGGAGAAGTTGAATAATGTCCAGTGAAGGGGGCTGCAACAGACCCACACCCCCTACAACCTTGGGTGGAGAACTAGGAATAGGGGTAAGGGCAAAGTGCACGAAGTGTCCAGGGCACAGGACAGACAGGAGGAGACAGGAAAGAAGATCCCAGAGATTTTGTCTGTCTGTTTCCTTGTTTGTTTGCAGGGGCAAGGCTCCAGGGAAGTGTGCACTCGGTCTGAACCACAGGGCCCCAGGAGTCTCTGCCCTCTGTAGAGCTGCATCTGGGGGAAGTACATGTAGAGAGACAGCAAGCCACGACAGAGACCGCTGGGTGTCCAGCATGACCTAGCCTCCCGTTTGCTTCTTTGCTGATGGATTCTTGGACTGGATGGTACAGATGGCCCCTGCCCTCAGGGGTAGGAACAACACTGGGCAACTTCTGATGAAGCTCTGGTGTCATGGAGTGAGTGAGGCAGAGCTCAACTGGGGGAAGAGACCCCAAAGTTGCCAGATGGTATAGGAAGTCAGCTGATTCCCTGGCCCTTGGGGTCCTAGTTCCTGGTGTGGCTACCAGTGGTCACCTGTCTTTGAGTCTCCTCATCTCAGGAGCCACCTTTCCCCAGAGACAGGATCTTGGCTTCTGGACTTGACCTGCTGAGAATGAAGTGGCAGAGGGGGGATCATTCCCTGAGGCCTGGGGCCCTAGACTGCAAGTCATGGGCAGGGACTGCCTGTCCCCTCTTGGTGAGGACCCTCTCCCTCCTCTGCCCCAAGGGCCCCAGTATCCTGGCCTCCATGACAACAGCTTCCCTAAGAAGTCCTGTGTCTTCTCCTTATCAACCCAAGCCTAAAAACCTGAGCAGGGGCAAGGAGCTAAGAAAGGTGGGTGACTGAGCAATGGGAGGGAAGGGCTGGGTGCTCAGCATCAGGGTCCCTACCTACCTTGGGGATCAGGCAGGGCTACAGGACACAGGTTTTTCAGGGTGGCTGTTGTGCTCTGGCAGTGTTTTCAGGGCCTGGGAGCAATGGATGAGGATGAATGCTGTGAGTCAGCCCCTGGGGCTGGGATGGGACACAGGAGACTCAAGGTGGCTGGGTGTTAAATAGAGTGGAGCATCTAAAAGGAGGCAGAGGCAAAAGCCTATCCTTCAATTCCCTCCCTATGTCCCCTGGTCCGTCACTCACCTAAGGGCCAGGGCTCTTCAGTGGCTGTGGGGCCCAACTCCATGGGGTGAACACTGCCTGGGGGGTAGTCACTGTGTGGGCCACCGCTGGGCCTGAGTGTGGGAGACGAGGCCAAGAGGTTGGAAGAGTGACTCTGAGCAGGGCACAAGGGAACTGTTTCCCCTAGCATGATACCCAGCCTGAGTTGTGTGTTGACTGAATTTCTACACTTCTGCTCCAGGTCTTCCTTCCTGTCCCCTCCTAGAGGAGCCTTTAGGGTCCAGGCTTCCCTTGAGACCCATGTCCTCCAGGGCTACCTCTCTCCAGCCTTCATGATTCTCCCAAGGTTTGCTGCCACCCCAGCCTCCTGGCATCCTCCAGATGTTGGCATCACTCAGGTCCCATCAAGGGCTGGGGTGCAAAAATGTGTCCACCTCCCCCAGTGGAAGCTGTGTCTGCCCTTGGCCACTGGGCACCATGCTGCCCTTGGTGACTCCAGGCCATCTTTGGCTACCAGCACCCCATCTCCCAGGGCCTCACCACTTCCTTTGATGTCTGATCCAGTCTCCACTGCCCTTAGACCCACCCTGGAGACCAGTTGTAGCTGCCACCCCTCTGCAGTGCCCCTCCCATGTTGACACACCAAGCTCCCCACCCCTTGTTTATCTGTCCTCAGACTCCCCAGTCACTCCTCAGCTGTGCCAAGGTCCTCTCAGCTGGCACCTGGCCACTGCCCTACCCCTGCCAGGATGCCCTCTTCTCCCATCTCTGGCCCAACCATGCCCTCTCCTTCAGCTGGCCAGGAACTCCCAAGTCCAAGCTGTCAGACTTCACCATGGTATGCCTAACTTGCCCAGGGTTCCAGTGAAGGGCAGTCCTGGGTGGGTCTTGCTTAGTATTATGTAACCCTCCTCCCAGGTCACAGGGAACTGGGTTTGGAACAGTCTCCTGGTACAAGAGCAGCCAGCACCACAGCTGGTTAGTGATATGGAGTACAAAGAAGTGCTGCGCTGAGTCCTGGGGAACTTGAAAGGGCTGACAGAGTGATTGGAGCAGAGGAAGGTCAGAAAGCTGAAGACTCCTGAGACACAGAGGCTGCAGAGCCTCCAGAGGCCCAGGGGAGTGTGGAGTGGATTGGGTGCAAAGTCGAGCCAGTGGTGGAAAGCAAGAGAAGTGGGCAATAGTGGCTGTGACAGGGAAGGGGAGTGAAGGGCCATGCTTTGAGTGCTGTAGGGGCCAGTCCAAGCTCTGAGAAGCAGGAACTGTAGGGGTGGGCTCAGGAAGCAGGACCAGTGCCCTCAGGGTGGTCACTCAGCCTACCCTCTGTGTGTGAGATTCCTCCTGCAGCCCCAGGGACATCGCTGGAGATGGAGTCCTGGAAACCTGTAGCAGCACCAGGCCAGGCCAACCCCAGGGAGCAGAGGCAGCAGGAAGCTGAGGAGCAGGGCCAGCAGGAAGGCATCACGTTCTGTGGAGAACAGAGCTGAGTACTGAGCAGGTGCACTACCCTAGGCCTACTCACCTGTCCCTTGTCCACGCACTTTGAGGCTGCACAGGGCCACTGTCCACACTACCCCCAAATCCTGGCTTGTCACAGAAGGGTGGAGCCCAGCCTGGATCACAGTGGCAGTTATGGTTGCTGTTGCAAACCTGAAGGAGAGAAAAGGGAGGGAAAAGGGTCACATGGGATCAGGGACCCAAGGTCACCCCCATCCTTTACTCACCCCATGGTTGTGGCAGGCAGTTAGGCAGTGTTCCAGCTCCTGAGAGGTAACATTCTGGCAGCGCCTGTCCTGGCACACCTATGGGCAGTGTGCCCACCTGACAATGAGTTGGGGGGACACTGTGACCAGGAAAACTAAAGTGACCAGAAGGGGTCGGGTGGGCAGAGCTCACCATTCTAGGTCCACACTGGGTACCCGGCTCTACCAGGCCCAAGTCAAGCAGGTTCAGCTGCGCAGCTGGGAGTGCAAGGGCTCCACGGCAAGTCACCTCCCGACCCTCTAAGCGAATGGTGGAGGTCACGGGTACGACGTGGGGCACGAGTGGGCTCTGCTCCCCATCCTGGCATTGTAGCTTTCCACACTGAGCATCCCTGGGGAGAAACAGGAGGGCGGTCAACAAACAGTGCGAAGTGTCCCACTTCACCTGACTCACTGTGAAGCTTTGGTCCCTCGGTTCCGTCTTTCACCTCTGTGCACAAGGCAGGAAGCCACCGGTACTGTACTGGCCGCAGTTCCCATGCGCGTCCCCGGCGGAGTTCACCTGGAAACAGGCCTCCGGCGCTGGGCGGGCGCCTAAGGAAGAATGGGTCGGGTTGGGGCAGCCGGGAAAGGGACCGCCGGAAATTCCCTGCGATAGAAAACTGGACAGATTTCAGGAGGCCTCACGCTCCATCTCACCTGGCCCCCAGAGCTGCTGGCATTGCTGCTCCAGCGTGGGGCACGCGCCGTCCCGGCAGTAACCGCGGCCGCTGGCGCAGGGCGAGCCGTCCAGTAAGTAAATGTCCCGGGGACAATGAGGGGAGGCTCCCGTGCAGAACTCGGGAAGGTCACAGTCGTCCACAGGCCGGCGGCACAGTGTGCCCGCCGGCTTCAGCTGCGCAGGTGACCGGGTTAGGGGAAGGCAGAGACTACGCAGGTGAAAGCTCGGGCCTGCGGGAGCGCCAGGCACAGAGCAGCGCCAGCACCCAGCAGTCAAAACCCACCCGCCAGCCCCCAAGTCTTCGCAGCCCTCACCTGGCAGCGCGCACAGCAGTCCCCGTGGGCGCACTGGGCCCCCGCACGCAGCGAGCAGTTATGGGCGAAGCAGCAGGGGTCCTGGCACTTCTGCGATGGGAAAGGTAAGGATGGAACAGGTGGGCGCAGCGCCCCGACCTCGGGGAAGGTGCGCGAGGTGGGGGGGCCAGCCGTGGTCCCCAGGGACCGGGCATGCGGACCTGACCTGGCCGGAGCCGCAGTCGCAGTCTTCGCCCGCCTCCACGAAGCCGTTCCCGCAGCGCGCCAGCTGCACCGGGAGCCCCGGGTGGGGGGTGTTTGAGAGGCACGCGCCGCCCCCCTTGCGGAAGAAGGCGCGCAGCTGGCGGCGGCTGCAGGCGCTGAACACGCGCGGGAACGGGTGCCTACGGGCGAGGGGAGGGCGTCGGGTGTGCGGGGACCACCTCTTAAACGGACTCTCAGCCCTGGAGTTAGCCACACAGTAGCCAAGGTGGGCGGACCTCCCGAGCGATGGGGGTGGGGGAGTGCGGAGCTCGAATCCTCCACGCGAGCCCAGAGAGGGAAAGTGGCTTGTGTAAAAAATCACACGGACACAGCAAGTCCGAGGCAGAGAATATGACGCCAAGATGGAATAGCACCGCAGAGATGGTACCCAAGATTGAAATAATCTTGCTACCTTATTAGATAACCATCTTCATAGTGTGTGTGTGTGTGTGTGTGTGTGTGTGTGTGTGTGTGTTTATGACCGTACTGGGGTTTGAACGCAGGGCCTTGCACTTGCCAGGCAGGCGCTCTACCGTTTGGGCCACTCCCCCAAGCCCTTGTTTTGCTGTAGTTATTTTTCAAACTGGGTCTCACGCTTTTAGTTCTGGGCGGGCCTCTCTACTGCGAATCTTCCTATGTCTTCCTCTTAGCTGGGACCTCAGGGGTGCAGCCATCACACTGGGCTTATTGGTTGAGATGGGTGAGATGGGGTCTCGCTAACTGTTTTTGCCCAGCTGGCCTGGAACTACAATCCTCCTGAGTAGCTGGGATTACACACGTGAGCCACTGCACCTGGCTCCATCTTCATACTCTTTAGACTCATTTTACCTGCATTTCTTCCACTGAGGCCCCATAAGCAACCCTAAAGGCAAGTAGTTATTTCCATTTTACAGAAAAAGGAAACTGAGAAATAACCAAAGAAACGCAGCCGAGGACAGCTCCCAGGCCCAGCGACCCCTGTCCTACGCACATACCCAGTGGCCGCTTCCATGACGCAGCCGCCCTGCTCCGCCACCGCCTCCACGCAGCAACCCTCAGGGTCGTGACTGAGGCCTAGGCTGTGGCCTATCTCGTGGGCCATGGTGGCCGCCGCGCCGATGGGGAGCTCCGAGTGGTCCTGGGAGGGCGGAGGGCGTCACTGCGGACTGCGAGCCCCGCCCAGGCCCCTGTCCTCCGGGTGTTCCGCAGAGCTCACCATGCTCACGCCTCCGGAGCTCTCCGCGCTGCACATGCCCTCGACCGCGCCAGGCCCACCGTGGCGCCCTGGAAGGTGCGGCCCCTGGGGCAGAGCACAGCGTGATCCCGCGGATCCAAGGTCGTGGTTGCCCTGCCCGCCAGCCACGTGGGATCAGAGGTACCCACGTGAGCAGCTGTGCCGAGTCGTGTGGCCGCTGCACACACAGTCCCCGACGCCACTGCAGAAAGGCCCAGAGCGTGGCGTTGGCGTCCGGTGTGACGCGGCTGAAGTCCTGCTCGGTCCACACTTCCAGCCCGGTCAACACCACCTGAATGTCCAGTGTCCTGAGAATCTGAGGACGGGGTAGGGCGGGGCTGAGGCCAGGGACCTGGAGCCCCACGATGAAGCATGAAGCAGGTGCCTGTGCTTCTCGGTGGCAGCGACCCTCTCCTCCCCCGGAGCCCGCCGCGCCCCGCCCTCTCCCGTTCGTCCTCCACCTGGTCCACGTAATTGGTGACTTCCAGGAGACGCTGTTTGGTGTGGTTCAAGTTCTGGTGCTGGAGCAAGAACTAGGAAAGCAGAAACCTCAGGGCGTCAGGAGCGGAGCGGCTCCATCCCTGCCCCCTCCAGCCCTGCGTCTACTCTCACCAGGGTGTGGTCAGCCACCAAGTACAGCTCCAGGTACCTAGGGCTCCTGCGGGCCTCTCGCCTTTCCTGTGAGAGGCAAATAGTGACCCTGAGAGCAGGCTGCTGGGCTGGAGTTCCCCCAAAGAACGTTTTTTAATTGTTGCAAGAACTTATTTCTTTGGCCCGTGGGTTAAAATATCAGGGCGGGTGGCTCTGTGTGGGACCTGCATTCCTGTCTCTTCTGATTTGGGACACTATGGATACTGCATTCCTACTCCCGCCCTTGTCTGTGCCCCCTAACCCTGCTCTGGGAGGCAGGAGGAAGGATGGCCACGCCCCCTTTGTCCCTGGGGTCCCTGTAGCCAAAGGCCTGTCTCCAAGTGAACAGTTGCTCCATCCGGAAGATCTTGTGTGTTGAGAAGTCCTTGGAGTCCCCAGGTGCCCAGGGATGCAAATAATAGCTGGCATTGCTGCTGAGTGTGATCAGGCCACTAGAGGACAAAGGAGTGCAGAGGGGGTGGGGGGGGCGCTCTTGCCTTAGGCCCAGCCTCCTCCCCCAGAACTCCTCACCTCATCCCTGAGCAGGTGCTGAGGACTACCCAGGAGTCAGGGAAGCTCCTCACACGCCCATGATAGTGGCAATGATCCTGGAGAGGAAGGACCCCAACCTAAGTCTCAGCAGGACTGAAGCAGGAGGGGTAGCAGGGAGGGAATGGGGGGAGGGGGGCTGGCTCCAACTTCTCCTTAGGAATTGGAGTTGGGGAATGGGATAGGAACAGGGGGTCCTGCCTCAGGGGGTGTATCCCCAGCACCCCTCACCCTCTCCTCAGAGCCCACAGAAGTATCTCACTGTGTGGTTGGGGACTAGCACCACAGGCTGTCCATCTGTGCTGTAGTGCGTTTCTGTGTATCCTGGAGCTAGCAGCCTGCTGGGAGGGGTTTTAGGAATCACCAAATTTAGCTCTGCCTCCTCCTGGTAGTCTTCCAGCCTTCCTCTGTGAATGCTAATTGAGCCACTCTACGAGTAGGCAACCGATGTGTATCTTAAGGAAGGGACAGGAGAGATTGTGCATTGTTCAGCTCAGAAAAACCTTGAGTTAGAAAGAGAAAGGTGAAGGTTAGGAAAGAGCCTTTGTGGTGGCTTAGATGAGGGAGGTGGGAGTACAAGGAACGCCAGGGAAGAGCAGGAACAGGGGAGCTTTTGTGGTCTTGTGGGGTTTACTGCAGGCAGCTGGATCTACAGGTGAAAAGGGGAGAAGTCGGCAGATGTTGCTGAGGAGGTGAGACTTAGAGTGAAATGTAGTGAACTCCTTGAGTGGCTCTGCCTGCTGCCAACTACTGGACATCTGGTCAACCTGCCTACCTCCTTCCATGCCAGACCCTTCACATTTTCTCCTCAAACCTCTAGATCCCTCAGGTCTCCCATCTGTCTCTCAGTGATGCTAACTCCCTACTTCCTGCCCACACCCATTCCCCCTCTCCATCAGAGCAAGCATCCTCTTCTTCACTTTCTCCAGACCCTACCCCAGTAATGATTCCATCTTCTGGATCCTTCCTCTCAGGACATAGCAAACATAAGCCAATAACTCTTCTTTAAAGAAAATCCTTGATTCCAACTTCACCTTGCTCTCTTTACCTCCAGACTACCTTCCCCCAGAGACTTAATAACTACTTTTTCACCTTCTTGTCCTTCCTCCCCAACTGCATGTGCACACACATGTGCACACACCATTTAGGACGTAGGGATATTAAACCCCACAAGGAACTGGGGTTAGGCATGGTGAATAGAGTTTGTTTCCAATCCTTCTCACTCCACAGGGGGAGAATAAAACACCCAGAATGCTTAGCACAGTGCCTGTAGCAAAACACGCACTCAACAAGTGATGCCTATTGATCATATAGTCAGATTAGCTCCAAGACCCTGAACACCATCTTGGACACCCGCCCAACTAAGTCCAGGGAACCCTCCTGATCCCTGCTCTGCCTGGTCCTTCACCACTTCAAAGTCTTTGGCTGTGGGGACACTTAGCCCTAAAATGCCTTCTGTGATCTAGCCCTAGTGGGACTCCCCATGTTTTCTTCACTGAAGATTCAGACATTCCAGGCAGGCCAGACCAACTGCCACCCCGGATATGCTTTGACCCTTGTAGCCACTGGGCCTTTGTCCTTGTCTGGAGTACCATCCTATCTGTGGAAGCCTATCTAGGATTCTCTTTTGACTGCGCATATCCTGGGAACGTCCACTAGGTGGTTCTTCAGAGCCAAGCAGCTCCTGAGGTTGGGAGGAGAAATGTACCCACAGCGGGGGAGGGGGTTCACTCACCCTCAACAATTTGCTCAGCCTCAAGAGAGCCAGCCATGGCCTGATGTGACTTTCCCCTGTCACCTGCACCCCTTCTGAGACCCTCTCCTCATCCAGTCTCCAGATAGGGGTGTCAGTCCTGCCCCCAGCACTGATCCTCCCCCACCCCACGGTCTGTTCTGAGATCCAGCCTCGCCCCAGCCTGGTACTCACTGGTTCTTTCCAGCTCAAAGCAGGAGCTCCAGCCTTCAGCCTCCAACACCACCAGCCCCACATCTGGCTTCAAGATCTGGCAAGAAGGAACATCATTCTGAGTGAGGTTAGCCTGGCCCAAAAGACCAAAAATCGTATGTTCTCCCTGTGGACATTAGATCAAGGGCAAAACACAACAAGGGGATTGACTTTGAGCACATGATAAAAGCGAGAGCACACAAGGGAGGGTGAAGATAGGTAAGACACCTAAAAAATTAGCTAGCATTTGTTGCCTTAATGCAGAGAAACTAAAGCAGATACCTTAAAGCAACTGAGGCCAATAGGAAAAGGGAACAGGTACTAGAGAAAAGGTTAGATCAAAAAGAATTAACCTAGAAGGTAACACCCACGCACAGGAAATCAATGTGAGTCAATGCCCTGTATAGCTATCCTTATCTCAACCAGCAAAACCCCTTGTTCCTTCCTATTATTGCTTATACTCTCTCTACAACAAAATTAGAGATAAGGGCAAAATAGTTTCTGCTGGGTATTGAGGGGGGGAGCGGGAGGGGGGAGTGGGTAAGGGAGGGGTGGGGGAGGGGAGAAATGAACCAAGCCTGTATGCACATATGAATAATAAAAGAAAAAATGAAAAAAAAAAAAAAAAAAAAAAAGATCTGGCAAGAAGGAGTGCAGGCTGTGGTGGGGGCCTCCAGCTGCCTGCCTGCCGCAGAGCAGTGGATGTTGAGCTGGCTGGTGGGAAAGTTCGTGGGGCCCACAGACCACTGGGGGTCATGGAAGGCATGGGTGGGTGTGGAGTGAGAACATGCAAAGATATTCTCAAATATGTTTGTTGTGACAACAGCTACTTGGAGGTGCATAAAGAACTGCCAGGGGCACACCTCATCCTCCTCCAGACAAGGTCCCAGAAAAGTGCCCTGTTTTCCCACAGTTACTGGGCTCTTCCCTTGGTCTGCCCTCTTTCATGCCCAGAAGAGACATAAAAAGCAGCAGAAGACATTGAGTTCCTGAGGACTTTGTGGGGGCCGTTGTGTAGCTATGGCCATGGCCTCTGTGCTATCTGGGGCTGTTTCTGTACTTTTTTTTTTGAAGTGCTGGAGATCAAACTCAAAACCTTGGACATGCTAGGCAAGTGATCTACCACTGAGCTTGGTGTCCTCTACCTGAATTCTCATTCCCTGTAGAATTCAAACTTTATTCCTCCACCTCCAATTCTGGTAAACCACTCCTGTCCTCTGAAATTTTCTGTGGCCTCCAGAAGGCCCACCCACAACCTGAGCTCACAAAATAAACATGGACCCCATCCAGGCCAGAGAGAGCACTGACTTTCTTGGCGAGATGTCAGGAGGGCTAGGTTTGGCCAGGCAGTCCTCCTCTCCTCCCCCCCTCTCTTTGCCTCTTCTAGCCCATAGGAATACCCCCTGTCATCTTCCCCCCTGTCCACTCAGCCTGGCTGGGGGCCCAGAGTTGGAGCCAGCCCAAAAGATTCCTGGGGGGGGCTGCTGTATCTTTGGACTGTTTCTCCCACCCTGTTGGCTCTCCCCTTTTATCCCAAAAATGTACTGTTAGGACCCTGGCCAAGGGACTCAGAGTCTGGGGGCCTTCCTCTGCAGGTGGGAGCAGACAGTCCTCACTTCCCCAGTCATGGGCCCCACAAGGTCTCAAGCATGAGCTCATGTGGCTGGAATGCCACTTGTTTTATTGGAGAAAGGTTTGTACTAGAAAAGGCAGGCCCAGATAGAAGGCCATGCTTGAAGTCCCTGCTCCTCTATAGCCCTACTGCTTCACTTCTTGCCTGCTGCTCACAATGTACCTTATCTCTGTCCTACAATGTGAGTGTGCCCTGCCTGCTGGAGAGGACCCCTGCCGAAGCTCAGTCTCCTGTCCTGTCCTCGTGGACTTCCTGGCCAAAGCAAGACCCCTCTAGGATTCTCCTTAGTCACAGCCCAGGTCAGACAGTCAGGGTGACCCCCAGCATATGCCCAGCCCTTTCCTGTATCTGAGAGGTCAAGAAAGATCTCAAAGTGAAGAGCTGCACTGTGCCTGACCAGTCGAGGGGAGCCCTGGAGATGTAGGGGCCCAGTGAAGGCCCTGGTTGGAACTCTGGGCCTCTGGGGGCCCCCAGCCTTTGTGGGTGCACTCTCTGACTTTCTTTTTCCTGAACTTGGACAGTGGGGTTGCCCACTCCTGCTTGGAAATTCAGAAATGAATGCTCTTCAGTTTGAATGGTGGACAATGGTCTGAAGTCTTTCAGACCTTAGCTTCCAAGTCCAAAGAGCTGTATGACCATGAACAATTTTACAACCTCTCTGGGCTTCAATTTGTCCTTCTGTAAAATGGGCATACCAAGGCTACTGGCCTCTTGGTTTGCAGCACAGATGTGGTGACATAAACAGCTGGGACACGTTATTCTGGAATAGTGTGATGGGCAGAGTTGGGAGGAGGCCAGGCACTGTCCCAGAGATGCAAAATGGGGTGGGCTTGCATCTGGGGGCACCAGGAAAGTGGCTACTGCCATATGGCAGCAAGTGGATTCCATAGGAGCCAGGGAGGCTCCTGAAAAGCTTCAGGCCCCAAACTGGACCCATCTCTGGTTGGTGGGGGTGGTGGTATCCCGGGTAATGCGGGGGAGGCAGGGAAGCTGAAAATGACTTCCATGTGTGCAGGCTCAGGCCATCTAGATGTCTCCCGCCCCGCCTGCCTGGTGGGGAGGGGCCTAAGGGAGTAGTGACTTAGTTCTGGGGATCCCAGAAAAATTGCCTTGCTGCAACTGTGGGGAGGGCAAAGGGCCTAGGAGACCTGGAGCCCCTGCTGAGGACAAGGATGGGTAAGGCAGCACTGACCGCTCTTCCAGGGTGATGGTGGCATGCCAGGGTCGGTCATCCAAGACCCAGTGGGGCGTGACTGGCTCTCCATGGGCTTTTCCTGGGATGAGGACAAAGCACTCAGTGAGGGGCACCTGAGGAACAGGGAGGAGCAGGGATGTGTTGTTGGGCCAGTTGGAAGGGGAGGCCCTAAGGCGCTAGCTCCATCTTAGCACTCCTGAACTCAGCCTGCAGGACAGGCATCAGTGGGGCATCCCTGGAACTTTTGGAGCCACCAGGGAGGTGGCAGAAGAAAGACAGAGAAGCCTGGGAAGAGACAACTCAGCTGGAGATTTGGGAGCTGCCTGACCTTGGGCTGAGGTGGGGGTTTGGAGTCAGAGGTCATAAGGAAGAGGCCCAAGCCCCCAGAGCAAGGGAAGGAGGCAGGCTTGGGTATTTTTAGACTGGGCAGAAAATGCCTTTAGGATGAGAGATCTGTGATGAGAGGCTGCCTGTGTTTCCCCCACCATCTGAGAGAAACAACAGCCAGATGTTGTCTTTCTAGGTCCACCTTGCTAAGAGCTCCTCTTGGGGGTTTGTGTCATTGGCATGCAGAAACCCCTCCTCTTGTCTTCAAGGTGAGGGGAAGTCAGGGGACAAAGCCTCGGTGTGGTGGTGCTCAGGGCGGGCGGGCGTGTCTAAGGGGCTCTAGGAGGCAGCCCAGAGCCAAGCATTACTCAGAGGGCGCCTGGAATGCTCCCCAGGAATGCTCCTGCCTCCCTCCCCCAGCTGGCCTCAGGAGCCAGGCCCCAGAGCCCCAGAGCCCAGAGCCTGAAGCTAATGCTCTCACCCTCCGGTAATCAGGCCCTGGGGCAGGCCCAGCTCCCAGAACACAGCCCTCAGCCCACCACCCAACCCAAACCCTAGCCCCACCCAGGATGATGGCTCCTCTTGGATCTTCCCAACTCCTCCTCCTCCTCTCCCAGACCTCAGGCATGAAAGACCTGGGATTAGCAGCAACTCCAGGAGCCCACTCCCCTAAGACTCACGCCCTCCTAGATTGAGGAGCCAGTTGTCATCAGCCAGATGTGGGAAGGGGAGCCTTTGGTTCAGCTTTGGAATGGAAGCTGAAGGGCCTGGGTGAGGAGGGAAATGAGAGTGTGTGGGGAAAGGAGTGGTGGTAGTGGGGTGTCTCTCAGCTAGGTGCCTGGTGCATGGGAGTGGCAACTGAGGGAGCCAGTCTCAGTTAAGAAGCATGGAGTTCCTTTTGGGGGGGGGGTCCCATTTCCCACTGTCTCCTGGCTCAGGGCTAGAGATTTGAGGATAAAGGGCTAGGGATCATCCCCAAAGGCAAGACAGCTGTAGTCTTCCAGGCTGCAACAGAGCAGGAGCTGACTTCAGGGGTCTCCAGAACAGCGTAGTGCTGTGGACCTGGAAGCACCCAGGCTGCCCAACCCTTCATGCCTCCTCTCTGGTTGCCCTTTCTGCCCTCTTGCCAGGCACTTGCTGAATGGGGTTTGGAGAATCCTCCCACTCATTTGGAGGGGCTGTGGCTAAGAGCCCCACCGCAGGGAAGTTTGAATTTGGAAACATCAGGCTGGGAGGAGAGAGCCACAGTGCTCCCCCATGCACTGCCAGACAGACACCTTCTGTTTGGAGAAGTCCTAGTCTGTCTAACCAAACATGGCAAGCTATAAACAATATACATGCTGCCCCTGGCGGGGAAGGATGGGACAATGGGACAGCTAGTCCTGAGGGCACAGCAGGACTCCAGAGATTCAGTGGGCCTGGGGGCTTCCTGGGGGAAGGAGGAAGACCCAGACCCTAACGTCTGAAAGTACAGAAGCCATCGCCCTAGAGGAGGGGGCCAGAGGCTGGACGGCCGCTAAGGGGAGAATGCTCTTTCCCCTCTGCTTTGCCCCATGGACAAAGTGTGGCAAATCCGCCGATGCCACCCCATCCCTCACCACGCACTGTCCTCCAAGTCAGATGGCCCTAGGGTTTTGGATCCTTCACCGGCACATAGGTTGGAACGGAGTCTATCATCCCCACCACCTACCTGCTCCTAGGGTTGCACCCGCCCATGTCCTCACCTAGAAGCACCTGGGCGCCGGGCACCCGCCATAGGGGCAGCAGCAGCAGCAGCAGCTCCAGCGATCCCCGAGGTCTCGAGGACCCCCGGCCCATAGCTGGGAGCGCCTGAGCCTCTAAACTCCGGCTGCGAGCCGCAGTCTGCCGGCTCCGCCCGGGCTGGATGGGGCCGAGCCGGGCGGGGAGCAGCTCGGCCTCCTCCTACCCTGCGGGCCCCTCCCGCCCGCAGCATTCCCCACGGGACCCGACCTCAGGCGCGCGGCGGGGCCGCACCGCGAGGTCGTCACTCTCCCATCGAGCGGTAGAGCCGGGCCGCGCGAGGCCAAGGCAGAAGTCCTGTCCCTCGGAAGGCCCTACTCGTGGGCGCAGAGGGTGCGGATGGAGCGGGAACTGCGGAGAGGTTCTTTAAGGAGCATAGTGAGGTGGCGAGGGGTGGTGAACCCGGGCCACCAGTCGCTGCTCAGGTCTGCCCAGAGAGCATGGTGTGGACCTCTGTCCGGCCTTACTAGCGGTCCTGCCGGGGCGCCGGGGCGGGAATCCAGCCCAGCGTTCATCTGCAGGCTCTGGGTGCCCGCACCAGGTGGCCATCAGGTGCAGCTGCCTCCAGCTGCACAAGTGGCCGCCAACCCCGGACCCCAAGGGCACGCGGCTGGGTGCAGGGCAGCGATGCGGAATTGTTCAAAGTCACGACTCCCAGGGGTGAGATGGGGGGGGTCTCAGGAACATTCATTTCCTGTCTTAAAGGTTTGTTTGTTTGCTTGAGTACTGGTATAAACTTAAGATATGAGGGATTTAATTTTTAAGCAATTCTGTTTGTTTCTGAGAATTTGTAATATAGTCATTAGGTTAGTGAAAGTTTTAGCAACAGTGAAAACTACATTTATGTGCATAAAACATCAAAATCTATGCAAAGCTATACTCCCAGCCAATCCCCAAGGTGAGGCAGGGCACTCACTTGCCACCTTGGGCAACTTAGGAGAACCCCCTCTAAAAGAGGAAGAGGGGAGGTTGGAGACAGGGAAGACACCCTGGGGAGGCTAAGGATGACTGGGCTACATAGTGAGACTGTCTCAAAAACAAGAAACAGTATGATAAAATGCTTAGGGAAAATTCTCCCCACCTCTTCAGTCTCTGTTCTTCCAGCCTTCATTCCCCCACAGGAAGCTGCTATTATTACTTTCTTGTATGGGTTTTTACATTATTTTTATATTATATTTTTCTGCACCTTGATTTTTTTTTACACTTAATATACTTTGGATATCAGTACATCTACAGGGTTCTTAGTACTGTTTTTTTTTTAATGGTTATTACTACTATTCTTTTTTTTGTGTGTGTGATGGGACTAGGGTTGGAATTAGGGCTTTGTGCTTGCAAAGCAGTTGCTCTACTGCTTGAGCCACATCTCCAGTCCATTTTGCTCGAGTTGTTTTGGAGATAGCATCTTGGGAACTATTTGCCTAGAGTGACTTCCAATTGATCCTCCTGATCTCAGCCTCTCAAGTAGGTAGGCTTATAGAGGTGAGCTGCAGGTGCCTGGCTTGAAGGATCTCTATATGTAAGGGTGATTGATCCTTCTCTGGAGTGTGACTCCGGAGCACTTTTCCCAGTTAGCAACATTTATCCAGCCTGCTGCATGTGTCTTTAGCTCATTCATATTCACCGCTGACACTCACTTGTATGACTGTGACTGTGACCACATGTTTTCATGGGTTCTACTGTTGTTGGACGTGTAGGTGGGTCCTTATTTGAAGATATAACAAAAAAGGTTATTGTGAGCATTCATATAGCTATGTCCTTAGCTTCCTCCCGTCACCTGGCTTGCTTCCCTCCTCCTTTACTGGTCTCTTGGGAAGCACATCCTTAGTAAGTCACTTGCACCTGAAGCCTCCTCTTGGAACAGACAGTAATGGCTTTGGTCGTGTAGACAAGCTAGAGAGGCATCGCCGCTCATTGTGTGGATGACTGAGTAGGGTCACCACTCAGTGACCCTACTATCACTGCTGCTGATAGCAGCAAAGGTCATGCTTCCAAAACTGAATCCATTGGTCCTCTTGCAAGGTGTGGGCAGGCAGAGAGTGAGGCATCCATCATGCCCAGCGCCCATTCCGTTGTTTCTTCTCTCATGTTGTGGGGATTTGAGAAAGAAGAGAGTAAGCAAAGAGTCCCAGGCTTCCATCTTGAATCAGGAGCACAACTGGAGCTTCTGACCGAGAATGTTCCAAGAAATGGGAATGACGAAAACACAAATCCTAGTAGCGGAAACTAACTAAAGCAAAAAGGGCTGGGGTTGTGGCCCAAGCAGTAGATTGTCTGCCTAGCAAGTATGTGACCCTGAGTTCAAACTCCAGTACTGCCAATAAATAAACATATAAGTTAACTAGTGTCAAATCCTGGAAAAAATTAAGTAAAATAAAAAATAAAGAAAGTGCCAGAGATCACAGTGGCAGGATGAGGTCAAATGTACAGCCTGACTGGACCTGGGTAATGACTTTGAGGTGGCTCGAGTCCAGAATAAGTTGGGGGCAAGGAGCAGAATCCCACAGTGGGCCCTCTGTGAGGCTCCTACACTGAGCCCAAACCAAGACTGAAGATAGAGAGGGGTGGCTTCCATGTGGCCAACAGGGAGGGAAGAAAGCAAGGGCCTTAAGGAGCACAAGGAGCATGTGGCACCTGCAGTGCACTGGTGACCTCCTCCTCACACTGCAGAGCCGCCTTTGATGTTTCCTCCTTCTGGAACCCTCCCTGGCCCAGAGCCAGGTTTGCTGCAGCATGTTTCCTATGGCATTCCAAGTCACCCACTTCCTTGTCTCTCTCTCCAGATGCCAAGCAAACTGATGCCTGGGAATATGTGTCTATTTCACTACCCGGCCCAGGGCCTGGCACTGTACTAAGAGCATGTGGGATGAGAGTCATTCTTGCAAAGCCAATGCCTATTAAACTCAAAGGAGCTATATCCAAGCACATCAGGGGACTTTCCTGCCAAAATCTCTGAGCAACTGTTCATTCTCATTTTGAGGTCGCAGAAGAGGAGATGCAGCCTTGGATCAAAGACGAGGGACATGAATCCTAGAACACCACCGAGCAGTTTGTGTGCTTATTGGTGTAGCTCTCAGAGGAACATCTGGATGTATCCTGGACAGGAGGCCAACCAAGTGCCTGGAATGAGCACTTGGTTGGTCGTGTAAACACGACTCAGCCTGAGGAGTAGCCCAGAACGGGATGTCCAAGGTTGGTGCTGCAACTCCAGCCTGTGAACATATGCCAAGCCAGTGCTTGGGTGCTGCAGAAAAATGGATGTGTGAATGGAGGGCCCCAAAGTCACAGTCAAGGCTCCATCCTTGGCAGCCCAGTACATCCAAAGGGGAGAATGTTACCTCTTGGCAAGGTGACAGGGGTACTTAGAAAACTGAATAATCAGCCAGAAGTTGAGTACACTGTTTTGGGAATCCAACATAAAAGCTGGGAGGGTTTTTTGTTGGTTGGTTTTTATTTTTTTTCTCAAAGAGATGAGGTCTTGTTGTATAGCTCAGACTGGTTTTGAACTCCTGGGCTCAGAGGATCTTCTTGCCTCAGGCTTCAGAGTAGCTGGGACTACAGATGTGTACCACCATACCCAGCTAACATGGAAGATTAAAAAAAAACTTTCTTAATGAAACATAACATATGTCAGGGAAGCAAGCAGTTCACAAAGTGAACACACTCATGTAACCTGCACCCAGACTAAGACAGCGCATTCCCTCCCAATCACTTTCTGCCATTGGTCGCCACCATTTTGACTTTTATCCCATTGATTAGCTTTGCCTATCCTTGAGTTCCATGAAAATGGAATCATGAAGTCTGAGCTCTTGCATTTGGCTCCTTTCACCGGCCAGGACACTTGAGTGCAACTCCCAGCTCCTGTCTGCGGTTGTAGCTCATTCTCACTGTTGGAAAATACTCTGTTGTGTGAACATAAACATAATTTATTTAGCCACTTCTTCCCTGTTGTGCACTGCCTCCAGTTTCTGGCTATGATAAACAGCATTGCTGTGACTATTCTAGTACAATGACATAAGCCCTCATTTTTTCCTGAGAAAATACTCACGGGAATAATATCACAGGAGGACTATTTCAGCCTTAATAAATGCTATCAAACCATTTCCCAAAGTTGTCATGCACATTTATGTGAAGTTCAAAAACAAGAAAATCAAATCTGTGGTGTTAGAAGTCAAGATGAGCTGGGAGCCAGTGGTTCACGACTGTAATCCTAGCGACTAAGGAGGCAGAGATCAGGAGGATCGTGGTTTGAAGTCAGTCCAAGCAAATAGTTCACAAGACCCTATCTTGAAAAACTCTTCACAAAAATAGGACTGGTGGAGTGACTCAGGTGAAGGCCCTGAGTTCAAGCCCCAGTACTGCAAAACAAATAAATAAAAGTGAAGATGGAAGGCAAATGCTCATGGGTACTCACACTTTTATCATGTGATCAAAGTCCAATTCCCTTGTTGTGTTTGCCCTTGACCTAATGTCTGCATGTGAGGGAGAACATACAATTTTTGGTCTTTTGGGACAGACTAACCTCACTCAGAATGATGTTCTCCAGTTTCATCCATTTACCAGCGAATGATAACATTCCGTTCTTCTTCATGGCTGCATAAAATTCCATTGTGTATAGATACCACATTTTCTTAATCCATTCGTCAGTGGTGGGGCATCTTGGTTGTTTCCATAACTTGGCTATTGTGAATAGTGCCGCAATAAACATGGGTGTGCAGGTGCCTCTGGAGTAACCTGTGTCACAGTCTTTTGGGTAGATCCCCAAGAGTGGTATTGCTAGATCATATGGTAGATCAATGTTTAGATTTTTAAGGAGCCTCCAAGTTTTTTTCCAGAGTGGTTGTACTAGTTTACATTCCCACCAACAGTGTAAGAGGGTTCCTTTTTCCCCACATCCTCGCCAACACCTGTTGTTAGTGGTGTTGCTAGTGATGGCTATTCTAACAGGGGGAAGGTGGAATTTAGTGTGGTTTTAATTTGCATTTCCTTTATTGCTAGGGATGGTGAGCATTTTTTCATGTGTTTTTTTAGCCATTTGAATTTCTTCTTTTGAGAAAGTTCTGTTTAGTTCACTTGCCC